CAACATATGCAGTGATCTATCTATATTTTTAGAGATAGATATATGGTTTAGCAAAAGATCGCAGAAAAAAAACATTGATAGCTCAGACAATGAATTTCCAAAATAAGCTGTTAAACAAATATAATTCAGATTGGCCTCAATCATATTCCCAACAAGTGTACGACATTGTATGGTCTGTTATTCCGATTCACTATTACTACTAAACAGTCAACTACCAACAACCCTATTAATTAATACCCTTTCTGTTTAAAATGATTTAATTTTCAGTAAAAATGGTGTTTTACAATTTCAATGCAAAATTTATTTTAATATTTTATAACCATTTGTATTATACAGTTTGTTTTACTATCTGTTGAATTGTGTTGATGTAGATAATAAATAATGTTTAAATTAAGATAAAAAATAATACATACACTCTTAATGAAACAAAAATTATAATACTTTCGCTTACATTTAGTTTTATTAGTGTAAGAGCATCTGCAACTGCAACGCAGATTCTTAAGCGTCATTTTTAGTTTGGGGTACTTAACTTTACATTATACTAATTTTTAGTTTGGGGTACTTAACTTTAGTATTATTTTATTGCTTAAGTACCTTTAATGGAGTACTACCATTGCTGATGCGCTAAGAACCATATAAATTATTTGAAAGAATAACGTATAGTGGTCTTGTTTTACATTATATAAAATCATGTTAACTATATGTAAAATTTTGCCCTTAGAAAAAAATAATAATAAATATAGACAAGACATGGCAAAATTTATTATTGAGCTATTGCGATCACACACGCATTTTGGAAACAACTCGACTATGTTTATCTTGTTAGCTCTCAACCCTCGTTGACATGATTGTGACTATAACGTAATCTTTAAACATTCGCTTACGGATCTCTTAATTAAAAAATAACAAAAAACAACTATAATTAAGGCCTACTTTGCTAAGAAAAACTATTCGAATAACTCATAAGATTAAGCATGATGTGAGATTATACAAAAAACGACAATCAGTGATCAGAATAAAATCTACATTACATGCATATAAAATTCTCATGAAATCACACTAGAGGCGATATCGTTGCTATTCCGCCGATCTTTGCACTCTTCCTCATCCATAGTGTCGCATAGATCACTCCCTCTAGTCTCTGGCAATCCGACCACAAACAGTCCCAACAAACCTATAGCAAGACCGAACAACCCGAACGACCAGAACCCGTTTTTCCGACCAGCCGCTACCATAACAGGGCTAAAAACCCCACCAAGCACCAACGCCTGTCTAGTCATTGCAATCGCCGAGTTCCTCACGCATGTCGGAAACAGCTCGATTGTGTATATCAGCTCCATGTTAAAAGCCGAACACGCGCTAAAGTAAGAAATTAGCTCTAATCCCAACTGTAAACCCCCATGGTTCCCAATTCTCATGTTCTGTAACGCGAATATGAGAACGCTAGAGACCCCGCCTAACGCCGTAAATCCGATAAGCGCGTTTCTCCTGCTGAGTTTATCTACGAGGAAAAGCGTGATGAGATTCGCTGGCAAATCCATCAACGCATTAAACGCTGCACTTAAATACACATTGAAATCGAGATTCGATAACGCTAAAGGCATCCCGTAATAGACCAAACCGATCCCAAACGCAACCGCCATTACAGCGGATAGTCTCTTAAGCGCCCATCTCTTTCCCAACAACACCTTCATAGCTGCGTAGATATTAACACTAGGCTTCTCTTCCTCTTCCTGAGACGGCAAGCTCGAAAAGCTCATGGAAATTAACGCACCACCATCAGTCGAAGCAACCCTTTTGAGAATCGAAATGGCTTCTTCTCTACGACCTCTAACGAAAAGCCACCTCGGAGACTCACAGACGAAAAACCGGACAAGGAAGCAGTAGATTATGGTCGGAATCGAAGTCCAGATGTAGAGAACCCTCCACGAATTCCCTCGATTGATGTAAGCCATGATAGGGAGAGACAAAAATCCAAGCATGAACCCGAAGAAACTCATGATTCCGACTCGTCCTCGCCATTTCTTCCCAACCAGTTCCGTCGAGAGAACGAGCGCACACGTCCCGATCGTCGCTCGACCAAACCCGTTAACGAATCGAAGAAAAGCGTAAACCCAAATATTAGGTGAGAAAACGGTAAGCATCGTTGATATCGACATCACGAGACACGAGAGAAACAGCATGTTCTTGCGGCCAAGCGAAGAGTCGGCTAAGGTTGAGAGAATCAAACCTCCGATTAGACATCCGACGAAGAATGAACTTTCCGGCAAGCCCTTGACGAACGAGCCGGCGCATTGGAGACCCCACTCGGATATGACGGAGACGTGAGGAGAGAAATCCCAGGACCAGGCGGTTTTTGGGAGGATGCAGATGTTGGAGACGGATTGGTGACAGAACGAGTCTGACTCGGTGCAGTGCCACGTGGGTTCGAAGTCTGTGAAGATGGAGATGAATGTTTGTTGAGCGTCAAAAACGCCGGAGAAAGAGACTAAAGTGGCTTGAAGAAACTGGCCCCACCCAAAGCTTCCAATGTATCTCTCGATCGTGTCGTCGAGTGTTCTCGGCGGCGGCGAGCTCGAATCGGTGAGAAGCGGCTGGGTTGATTCAGCCATGTTGCACGAGTTTTTTTCCTCTCTCTGTCTGTCTCTCTTTTTTCTTTTGACTTTTTTGTCTTCTTCTTTTTTTTTATCTTTTTGTTTTTTTGTCATGTAGAATCATCTGAGTCGGCGAGTCTTTCGTCCTGCTTTTATAGAAACCTCAAATTGTTTTTGACTTTTCCACATGGTAGTAAAACTATTGCTCCCTAAATAGTTTTATCAGATTTTTCCGTAAACGCATCATGTAATGATATTTTGGTAATTAATCTTTTATATTCATCATGGTCCTAAGACTAATCTTTTTCTTGTTTTTTCGTTCAAAGGTTTTCGAATTGTAAAAGTAATATAATTCAATTTTTATTTGATCTTAGTCTTCATTTTGAACCGGAATCTTATCCAATTATCATTCAACACATCTGTAGAAAACTGGTGGGATTGAGTCATGTACAATTTTTGAAAATCTATAAAAATTAGACTGTGTACAATATTTTGTTAAATTTTGAGATTAAACTTTTGAGTATTGACTATATTACGTGTGTATTCATTTAGAACACTACATTACTATAGAAATAGAAATAAGTAAAGGGAATAATAGGTCATCGACTAAATTTTTCTTCTAGGCTTACATTTATTCTATTTTTTACTTTTTATTTTATTTTCAGTGAAGAGTTTGCTGAATCTCAAATTGACCTTGTTCAAAACCAAATCAAATCTTTTGACTAAACCCCATTTGATTGATGTGAACTCAAGAAACAAAAACGCAAAAACCCTTTTGATCTGGCAAAAAGGGTGATAACTTATAAGCACGATCATCTCGTGGCCACGCAAATAATATTTATATAAGTACGATCGTCTCGTGGCCACGCAAATAATATCTACATTCACTTACCTCTATCTTTTTTTTTTTTTGTAATAGAGACCTTTGATTATAATAATGTAACGTCGTATGATCACAATCGTACGTTTGTAACTGGCCAGACTCAGACAAGGAAGTGATAAGGAGTACTTTTTGTTTTGACAAAAAGAAAAAGAGTACTTATGATCACAATCGTAAGTTTATACGAAATACCCCGAGTTAATTAGACCAGTAGTTAGTTTAGAAATATTGTTAGAGCATCTCCATCAGTACTCTTTAATAGTTTTTTTGGCACAGTTTCATAGGTAAATTGAATTAAAAATAAATAAAAAACTCATGTTTTATATGAATCGCTCTTTAAATAAAGAGCTGAAGAAGCGGTCTCTTAGGACATGTGTCTCACTCCGACTGGCAAGAATTATTTTTATGATTGAATTAATTTTAATCTAATATTATTTGCTTTCACTCTCACTCACAGGTCGCTCACTCTCACTCACACGTCTCTCTCTTATTTGCTTCTTCAACAAATAATATATATTTTTTAAGAAACCTAAATAAGAGTTCACTAATGGAGGAAAAAAAACATAAATATCTTCACTATTCTTAACTTCTCAAAAATATTATTAAAGAATTGCTAAGGATTTTATGTTGGATTAGGATTCTATGTTGGATTAGACTGATGGAGGTGCTCTTATGGCTTTCAGTTAAATTTCCAGAAAATAAAGGTTGACCAACAAAAAAAAATTATATATATATATATATATATTACGCCAATTTAGGGGGTCACGTTACAGTCGCTAATTTGTTTTTACTTACCTCGTTTGGTCAGGTATATCCTTCAGTATAAAATGTGATGTACGTTTGTTTCATTAAGGCGTGGGCTAAAATTAATTCGCACTAAATGATGCGAATACAACTTAACTTTTTGGGACACGTGCCCACTCCTTCGTTGCTGGCATTTTGATCCTTGATACTTTTTGGACCATGATGAAATGTATGGGCCAAAACCAAGTTTGTGTGAGCCCGCATTTAAGGCCGAATGAAATATCGAAAGAATTAAGGCGTAACTGCCATCAAGCATCTTCCATAGCGGAGGAACAATACTGGATTGGGTTAGGCCTTTTACATACGTTATGTGGGCTATTGTGTTTTTTTTTGGGTATCGGTGAAGTAAGCTGTAGCTTTAAGAAACGGATGGAGTTCAAATTTGGAGAAATTAACTTGGCAGCTGAGATAACATCACATTCCATCTTGATCACAAAGTCATTCTTTTTATCATTCCATCTTGACAAGAACGTCATTCGTATTTTAATTAATGGAATATTTATATCCATCTCATAAGATCTTCAGTGTATAATATAAAGTTTAATTAGTTTTTCCAGGTTCAGTAATCATGTGGGGGGTAGTAAATATAAATATGAAGTCCCATCTGGCGCGTAAAATAAATATAAAAATAAGTGGTGGGTTGATTAATATTGAAGAAGATAATAATTAGTGCCGCGTTAAATTAAATTTAGAACAGTGAAGCAAGAAATAGTTTATTGGTGGTGGTCACCTCTTTTAGAGTAGCTTTCTTAAATATTCCAGCAGAGAAGGAAAGAATATTATCTCCATCAGAAGGAAAAAAACCCTTCTCATATTTCTCATATTAGAAGAAGAAGAAGAAGAAGAAGAAGAAGAGAGATGTCTAAGGGTATGGGGAATTTCTTACGGAAGTTGGGAAGTGGAAAAAGCAAAAGCAGTCCAAGTTTTAAAGACAGAACAACATCGTCTGTATCTAATGAACCGTCACCGTCGGTTCCTGCAATATCCGTCCCCGACAAGATCAAAGTCGCTAAGAAGAAGTACGAACTCATCCCTGATCGCTTCTCTTCCCTGGACCAGGTTCGTTTTTGTTTGTTTTGATCTCAATTTCTTGCGTTGACTTGACTATTGATCACCATGGTTTGTGCTACTTCCATGTTCTTGGAGTTCTTCAAAGTCTAATATTGATTATTCCTTTTCTTTTATTGTCCTCCATTTCGTTGACATTGGGATAGAAAATTGATTTGGCAAATTTTCTAAATTTAAAACAAAAAAAGAATGTAAGAAGGTCTGAAAAAGGGCTAGAGCTGAAGAGTTGTTGTTGAGTTGTTTTGAATGGTGTTTTTTAAAAAGGTATCAAAAGCTCTAAGAGAAGCTGGTCTTGAATCATCCAACCTAATTCTCGGAATTGATTTCACAAAGAGCAACGAATGGACTGGTACCTATATATCAAACTTACTGTAAAAATTTCACATCCCATATTTTGAATATTACCAGAATGAGAGTGATATTCTCGTTCTGTAATCAGGGAAAACTTCTTTCGATGGAAAATGTCTGCACGCGCTCGGGGAAACTAAGAATCCATATGAAAAAGCAATCTTTGTAATTGGCCAAACGTTGGCTCCTTTCGACGAAGACAATCTCATCCCCTGTTTCGGCTTTGGCGATTGTCAGTTTTCTTTTTCTTTTCTTTTGTCTGTTTCCCTGAATATCTCATATCTTCAATCTTTGTGTCCTAAGAATGTCTGTGTTTTTCAGCAACGACCCATGATGAGGAAGTGTTCGGTTTTCACAGCGACAACTCTCCATGTACAAGCTTTGAAGATGTCTTATCATGCTACAGGAGAATCGCACCCAACTTGCGTTTATCTGGTCTTTCCTCTTTTTTTGTTAATTTTAATACCTCTTTAGTAAAATCTTTACTACCTTCATTACACCAAAATCACAAGCTTCTATACAAATTTTCTTCAAAAGGGCCAACGTCATATGGACCTCTCATCGATGCTGCGGTCGACATTGTCGAGAGGAGCAACGGACAATTTCATGTTCTTGTGATTGTCGCTGATGGGCAGGTAAAGTTCTTTAAAAGAAAATTTAACCAAAAAGAGTGTTTGAACACTTGAAACTTAAAGTAAGGTTAATGTGAAGGTAACGAGAGGTTTGGATATGCCCGAGGGAGAACTCAGTCAACAAGAGAAAACAACTATCGACGCGATTGTAAACGCCAGGTGAAAACAACGTTATAATCGGTTTTCTTCATTTCTGCAACTCTGTTTTCCAGAGTCCAATCAGGCCTTTTTATATCGGAGTTTCTTTTATCTCGCAGCTCGTATGCTTTGTCGATTGTTTTAGTCGGTGTTGGAGACGGGCCTTGGGAAGACATGAGGAAGTTTGATGACAAGATCCCTAAGCGTGAATTCGACAACTTTCAGGTATCAACTCAGTTCTATTTTCTGTATTTCCCATTCTTCGAGCTTCTTCTTGATCTTGATCTTGATCTGTTCTCTGCAAAGTTTGTGAATTTTACAGAGATTATGAAGAGAGATTCACCAGAGCCTGCCAAAGAAACTGCCTTTGCTCTTGCTGCTCTGATGGAGATTCCTTTTCAGTATCAAGCAGCCATCGAACTCGGCTTACTCGGGTACTTCCGTAAATTCTCTAGCTTTGATATCCTACAAAAGACAGAACAGAGCTATTGTCTTTCCGTTTTTCTGTCTAACTGCTTCTGCTCCTCTTATCTATAAAGGAAATCGACGGGCTTAGCTAAGAGAATAATTCCGAGGCCACCACCTATTCCGTACACGCCTTCAATTCGTACTGAACTAGCATCAGACGAACAAGCACAGGTCCCAAAAGTTGCTTACTTTTTACCCTGTTGCTGCCTTGCCGAATCGAATCTCATCTCTTATTGTTTTCGTTAAACAGAGTTGCCCAATATGTCTGACTAACCGCAAAGACGTGGCTTTCGGCTGTGGTCACATGGTAGGTTCCACCAAGGAATCCTATCTGTTTTCTTTTACTCAAACACAATTCATGAACAAAACCAGTTTTACTTACCTTGGCAAGATATGTTTGCAGACTTGTGGAGATTGCGGATCCAGGATATCAAATTGCCCCATCTGCAGAGTACTGATCACAAGCCGGCTACGGCTTTACACATGATCGAAACTCTTGTCCGCACAAAACAAAAACACTTGCACATACTCTCCATTTTAGAATCTACATTTTGGTTTACCAAGTGTCTCTGACATGTGTTCCAGAATCAGCTTGTGTCACTTAATTTCGTATGTACAATAAATGTTAACTTGCAAACAAGAATGAAGAAGCAGTGTACAAAAGCATGGGTTTTACATTTTTATTCACTGTCACAAAATGTTTGAAGTGACTGACTGTTGCACCAGTTTAAAAACCACAAAGTATGCCAGATACAAAGAAAGAAAATATTACGGCCAAGAAACATGCCATCTTCGCATCCAAGAAAGATTCGAGAGTGAGAGGTATCCATCACAAAAGCCCTTCTAAGAATTCATCATTGCTGAGCTTTGGTTGTCACCGTGTCATTTGGCTTTGGCACTGGTTGGATTCTTTGGTAAGGCTTCCTGGTCAGAGTCTCTCCCCTTAAAGCAGCCACGTATCTATCATTTGTATCCTGTTTCTGCTTCAACTCACCAAGATATTCAGCTAGCCTCTCCTGGTTTACTTTGCCCATCATCTGACCATAAATTGCAGAAAGATGATAATCAGCAGAAAATAACACAAAAAAGGTTTCAAGATTGCAAATCCCAAAATCGCACTATGAAGAGCTAGTATCAACCTCAAAAATGGATTTCATATGCTTTCATATTCAAAGTTCAGCCTTACATTATTAACATACGGCTATGATCAAGAAACTTCAGTTGAGTCGACATTGTTAAGCAGAGGAGGAGCTCAGATACATAAAGTTCCAAGTTAACAAAGAACAATGGGTGGGTGTTACTAGCAACAGAACCTACAATACAAATGCCGAACTCTACATCCTCCCCCACCAAATTTAGGCGTAAACAACTCTAGAAAGATACAATGCCATAAAGGGGCTTTGCAAATTACCAAGAAAGAGAGTATTTCAAATTTCCCAGGCTACATAAGCACGAGACACAACAATCATCAAGATGTTCTAGTCATCTTTCAAGAGAAGTGACCAAGTAGCAAGGATTCTCTAGAGACTATGTCTGAACAAATTGTAACCAACAAGCTCAATAGTCTAGCTAGCTTTCCCATTAGCATCATCAGGAGACAAATTACTTGTTTCTGACACCGAAAAGCTATCATGATCAGAGGAAAGAAATCCTAAATGAAGAACTCGCATACGACTACCAATTACTTCTGGAACTTGAGTTAGCGAAATCGTGCGACTCCACATCAGACTAATGTTTAGTATTCGAGTAAAAACATATATGAGATCCAAAGATTCATGGATGCATTAAGCACCCGTGAATCTCTCGAATCGAGTCAAGGACCAATTAAAATGCTTAAAGGGAAGAGATCAAGCCCCGGAACAATCACGAAGCTAGTTTTTTTTTTATAACAAAGGTTCTCAGTAGAAACGCAGGATCGATACATACGACGGTTTCGGGGCGGGCGGATTGTCGGAGCCGGGATTCGAGCTCTGGGTTTGTGGAATTGGTGACCTGCATAACCCCATAGCCAATTATCCCTGGAATGACACCGCATAAGGTAGCGAACGTGAAGAAGAAGGATCTTGAATCTCGCGTCTTCCTCACTAGCCATCTCCATGAATCGCTCTTCTCATACAAGAAAGACATCTCTCTCTCTCTCCCTCCCTCCGGTCCTTCTCTCTCCTTCCGAGTCACCGTTTTTCTCACCGGGGTTTCTAGGGTTCTGGAAATCGTAATTTCACTTAACTCCTATTTTTGTATATATTCATCTACTCCCCCAAATATTCTTAAGTTTCACTTTTTGACCCTAACAGTTTAGAAATCGTCTTTCAACCCCCTGATTTTGTTGATTGACCGGATGCCGCTTTCCAAGGGAAAAATAGAGGCATTGAGTAATTAAAGGACGGTCAAGTAATTGTAAACCCTTATCAACTCCAACCAAAATAAACTAATTAGTTTTGTTTCTAAATTACTACTGAAAATTATATATTCTTAAGTTAGACAACAATTTCAATTTTTTTCTTCCAGAAAAACGTTTTTGTTTTAAACAAAAGTCGTATTTTACATCACAACGCTTGAAGAATGCTCATGATCATCGAATCAAGAACAAGATGGATCCAAAGCTGTTGTTTTGTTTGCCACAAGGAGATGAATTGTTTAATCCCCTTAACACCATGTTTATTCAAATGGCGTGCATTCTCGTCTTCTCTCAATTGTTCTATCTCCTTCTTAAACCTTGTGGTCAAGCAGGTCCCGTTGCCCAGATTCTTGTAAGGAAAAGTTCATTCCTTGCGTTACACGAACCATCATCCAGTTTTTAGGGCTTTCACAATTTGCTAACTATTTTTTCTTCTATTCAATTCGATTTTTCAGGCTGGGATTGTGTTGAGTCCTGTTCTGCTCTCAAGGATCCCAAAAGTGAAGGAATTCTTTCTGCAGAAAAACGCAGCAGATTACTACTCTTTCTTCTCGTTCGTTTTACGAACATCTTTCATGTTCTTGATTGGTCTTGAAGTCGATCTACATTTCATGAGACGAAATTTCAAAAAAGCCGCCGCGATAGCCTTTAGCTCCTTGGTAGCTTGCGGTCTCCTCAGCCTCGCTTCTTTATTGTTGTTCATCCCTTTGTTTCAAATCAAAGAAGATCGCTTTACGTTTTTCTTGGTTCTTCTCATTATCTTGTCCAACACGGCATCTCCTGTGGTCCTCCGTTCAATCGCTGATTGGAAACTCAACACATCTGAGATCGGACGGCTGACAATGTCCTGTTCTCTGTTCATCGAATTAACAAACGTCGTTATCTACACAGTAGTCATCGCGTCCATCTCAGGATCTATGATAGGTGATCTCTTCCTATTCATTTTCGCGACTGGAGCCCTAATCTTGCTCAACAGGTTTCTAGCTCCATGGCTCCCAAAGAGGAACCCTAAAGAGAAATACCTGTCAAAGGCTGAAACTTTAGTGTTTTTCATCTTCCTTCTCATCATAGCTATAACAATAGAATCCTACGATGTCAATTCTGCGGTTTGGGTTTTCGCCATTGGCATAATGTTTCCAAGACAAGGAAAGACTCACAGAACGTTGATTCAACGGCTTAGTTACCCGATCCATGAGTTTGTTCTCCCGGTTTACTTTGGTTACATAGGATTCCGATTCAGCATCACCGCGTTAACCAAACGCTATTACCTCGGTCTTGTCATTGTAGTGATTCTAGCCTTAGCTGGGAAACTTATTGGTGTAATCAGCGCTTGTATATACCTGAAGATCCCCAAGAAATATTGGCTTTTCTTACCAACCATTCTCTCCGTTAAAGGCCATGTGGGTCTCCTTCTTCTCGACGCAAACTTCTCCGAAAAGGTATTATTCTTTATCTCTCATTTTACAGTAATTCTCATTTTAGAGTGTGTTTTCAAGAACATATAAGATAGAAAAAGAGTTGAAAGATGAACTTGGACAATATTACTGGGTATTATAGAACTTCTTATTGTTCACAACATTCATCGAGTTTTCAAGTTTTTTTTTTGTCACATTGTGAATCTGTCTATAGAAATGGTGGACCACAACGATTCATGATATGATGGTGGCTGCTTTAGTGATCACGACGCTAGTAAGCGGTGTCCTTGCGTCCTTCTTGCTGAGAGCAAGAGAGAAAGACTTTGCTCACAAGAAAACATCGCTTGAATCTCACGACACAAACGAGGAACTACGCGTGTTATCTTGCGTATACGGAGTCCGACATGCTCGTGGTGCGATCTCTCTTGTCTCGACCATGAGCGGATCTCGTGGAGCCTCTAAGCCGTTCACGCCTCTGCTTATGCACCTCGTACCACTCCCGAAGAAAAGAAAATCGGAATTGCTTTACCACGAGCACGATGAGGATGGAGGAAATGTCAACGGGGATGATGATTTCGGGACCAACGAAGGTTTAGAAATCAACGATTCCATTGATTCGTTTGCTAAAGACAGCAAGATCTTGATCCAACAGGTGAAACTCGTGACGCAGATGCTTAACATGCACGAAGAGATCTGTAACGCAACAGAAGATCTCCGAGTTTCGATTGTATTTCTTCCGTTTCATAAACACCAGAGGATCGATGGGAAGACTACAAACGATGGGGAAATTTTCCGGCAGATGAATCGCAATGTTCTAAGGCACGCTCCGTGTTCAATCGGTATATTTGTGGACCGAAACATAACCGGTTTTCAACAGCCACACGGGTTTGATTCGGTACAGCATGTTGCGGCATTGTTCTTTGGTGGTCCTGATGATCGTGAGGCTCTAGCTCTGTGCAAGTGGCTCGCGAACAACACTCTGATTCATCTCACAGTCATACAGTTCGTCTCAGAGGATTCAAAGCCAGAGACTCCGGTTGGTAATGCGACACCACGAGATAATAACGAGGTTTTTATCGAGGTTCTTGGAAGAGATCAAACTGAACATGAAACAGATCGGAGTTTCTTAGAAGAATTCTATAACAGGTACCTTACTAATACTTACTCTGTTTTTTGCTTCTTCCATTGCTCTGTTTTTTGGTCGATGCTCTGCTTTTTGTCTCTTTTCCAAAAAGCTATTATAATTCACAGTTCAAAATTAAGTTTCCAAAAAGCTTCTCTTACTAATACTTACTCTGTTTTTTGCTTCTTCCATTACTCTGTTTTTGGTCGGTGCTCTGCTTTTTGTTTCTTTTCCAAAAAGCTATTATAATTCACAGTTTAAAATTAAGTTTCCATCAAAGAACCTAATTTTGATTTCTTTTGCCTTTGAAATAGATTTGTGACAACGGGACAAGTGGGGTTCATAGAGAAGCGTGTGAGCAACGGACCGCATACACTGACGATTCTAAGAGAGATTGGAGAGATGTATTCACTCTTTGTGGTGGGAAAGAGCAGAGGAGACTGCCCTATGACAGTGAGAATGAAAGATTGGGAAGAATGTCCTGAGCTCGGAACTGTCGGTGATTTCTTGGCTTCATCTTTAGATGTAAATGCGTCTGTATTAGTTGTTCAAAGACAAAGACATTCACATGATAGCTTTATAGATGATTAGCAAAACATTTACTAGTTTCAGCACCAAATATCTTTCACTTATAATCTATTTCGCATCTTATTAGAGTTTTTTTAGGAAAAAAAACAACGATAACAGGAAACGAAGTGGTTTGATCATCGGAGCTACATATTTTTATTTAAAGAAAACGAAAAGAAACAGAGTTTTTATGAAATCCTATTTTTAGCAACTACTGTGGAGTCTTCAAGGCGTGGTCACTCTGTTCTTGTTCTTCCATTGTATCACAAAGACTTGACCCTTTGGTCTCAGGAAGAAGCAAGGCGAATAACCCGAGACCCGACACTGCAAATCCAAAAACCGCAAAGGAGAGTGACGGAACATTTCTACCAATCGAAACAATGATTGGACAACAAGCTCCTCCAACTACGAGCGCTTGTCTAAGCATCGTTGTCGCGAAGTTCCGCACGCATGTTGGGAACATCTCAATCATATAAACTGCCATTAAGTTAAATCCGATCCTAGCGCAGAAGAAAGAACCGAGTTCAAGGGCAAAAGCAATGTTTGTTCTCCCGAAAAGTGTCAGGACGAAACAGAGCACCCCTAATGCTCCTCCGATTAGGCAATTCACAAGCACAGAGCTTCTTCTGTTGAATTTCTCCAGCAAGATTGGTGTGATAACAAACGTCGGTAACTCCACCATTGCGTTTAGGGCTTCGCTCAAGTAGATATTCACTTTTATGTCTCTTACCGCCAATGGAACTCCGTAATACATCATTCCCAACCCCAACATTATTGTCATAACAACTACGATTCTTCTAAAAGCCCATTTTCGGATGAACAAGTCCTTGATCGAGCTACTTGGAGCTTGTTCTAGGATTTCTTTTGGAGGCAACCTAGAAGATACTGATTCCAAGTAACCTCTGTTTGCAGTTGAAATTCTTTTGAGCACTTCAATGGCTTCTTCGTTCTTCCCTTGCACATGGAGCCAACGAGGAGACTCCAAGGCGAAAAAATAGAGGAAAATACTGTGGATGGCTGCTGGAACAGAGGTGCAAAGATAAAGAACTCTCCAAGAAGCGTGTCTAACAAGGTAGGCGATTCCAGACAGCGACATGAGTCCTAGCACAAACAGAGTAAACGGAATCATCGTAGCTCGCGGTCTCCATTTGGTGGAAACTCGCTCGCTTATCAGATTGAACATGTACGTCCCGGTCTGAGAACGAGCGAATCCGATGATAAATTTTAAGAAAACGTAGCTCCATATGCTGGAGGAGAAGAAAATTGAGATTCCAGTGAATGACATTGCTGAGGTGGTGAAGAAAAGAAGTTGCTTCCGTCCCAAGAAACCGTCTGGGATTGTAGCCATGAAGACCCCTCCAACGATCGAACCCACGTAAAAAGCAGATGTAGGGAGACCTCTAAGGTAGGAGCTCGAGCACTCAAGATCAAACTCTGAAATGACGGATTTACCCTTGAATCCGCCGTCCCAGTCCCAGGCTGACCGGGGAATCTCGCAGATGTCGGAGGTTGCCGGATTGCATATCGTGTGGTCGAGACAGTGCCACGTGGGATAAGCATCTGTGAAGACGGTAATGAATATCTGATGTGAATCGAAGGTTGAGGCAAGCCCGACAAGAATTATCTGTAAAAACTGTGAGAACCCGAAATCAGACAAGCTCTGTTCGAAAATCTTGTCGAAATTCAAAGAGGGAGGAGTATCTCCATCTTCAATCTGGGTCAACAACGGTGCTAATGAATCCGTCATTGTTGCTCACTTCAGTTGACTTTTCTCTGAGGATGTGAGAGTTATTATATGAAAAATAAACAATCAACTGGTACCTTGCAACTATATAATCTGGAATCTGAAATTGTTTCTGAAGAAGACTCCAAATCTCGCATAAAATGTGTGGTCAAAGACTCAAACGATCATGATCTTAGATTTGTATGTATATATTGTTCTTTTTTTTTAGTAGGATTATTTTCTGACCAATAATTGAAGCATGTGCATAATAAATTCATATTTTCTTATGTAAGTCTAGACGACATGCGTTTTTTTTTTTTTTTTTGACATCAGTCCAGACGACACACCTATATACAGTATGTTCATCAATATGTTCTCGACTCTTTATAAAAGTCATATTTGGGCCGTTAAGTAAAGCCCATTAATGGGTTAAGTAAAAGTTATATGCTTCCACTTGTTGCAGAGAATAGGTGAGAAACTTGACCTCTTGAGTCTTACCTTCTCGCCAAAAAATTATTTTTTGGAAAAAATAACGAATAAAGAGAGGGGACTATCAAATTGAATAGTTAGATAGATTATCATAAGCTTGGCTTATAAGATTATCCATCTACATCTACCGCCACCATTCTCACTAGTGACTTGCCAACTTGTGTTGAAATGGAATGCATATTCGATCGAAAACATGAATTATGTTATTTATTTATTTTTATATTTATTGAGGTTCCATTGTTATCAATTTAATTTTTAGGCGGTGGATATGTTTATCTAAAGTGGATAATTGATTGGATTATATTGTAATCGTAAATTAATTGTTGTAAAGTTTAGTTTGTAGATTTTCTGTTTTTTTTTTTTTTAACGAAATGATATTTATATATTAAAACAAAGTTATGCAGTCGGAATACAAAGAATCTGATAACTACAACTTGGACAAATAGAAAATAAAATTAAAGTTTCTTTTTGTATTTTTTTGAAAATAAATAATTTTTTTTGCTAATATATTGTTTGAATCTTTTTTGTATGCTGAAATATTTATTGAATTTTTCTCCAATAAGTGCTTTCGCAGCAAAAAAGTATCAAAGTTTGCAATTTTTGCATGTAGAATATCGATGAGAATTTTTACAACCTCTACTAGCATAAACAAATGTTTTTCTTTAAGATCACTATTTTTTTAAGATACCATTTCAAAGCTTTAAAATAATTTTTAGGGAGAACATTTAAACATGAACTCTGTTACTTTCAAATGTGATCTACTCAAAAATTTGAAGCCAGATTAAAAAGCTAATGCTATAAAAAATGATGCAAAGAATGTAGAAAATTCCGAACCAATCATATATATTTTTTTCTTATTCAAACACTAAATTATTCTATTTTTCTAATTAGTCTCGTACTATCGTATATGCATAGATATTTTAGAAAATGTTGTGGTCACTATTTTGGCTTCTTATGACAAATTTAAGTGTGTTGGAATCCCAAGACATCCAGGGCATAAAAGGAAGAATAGAGAAAAAAATTGTATGTGATTATCTTTTCTTTTGGAGCTTTATCAAAAGACACAACCTCTTATTTGGTAAAAGAAAAATTAAAATTTAAAAACTCATTAATCAATGGGTAGTATACTAATATCACTGGGTGTGGTGTCATTTTCCAAGAAAGATCATACCTAGAGATCGTAATTACAAATTAAAATAAATGATTACCATATATATCATCGAAAGGACAAGACAAAGATCATATGCTAATCGAGTTAAAATGATATACAATTCAAATTTAAAGGACCAAAAAAGTGTGTGATCGAAGACTCAAAAGAAGAGCCCATAGTGTACAAAAAGAAGCTGCACGGATCGGATCTATTCACATGACACACTGATTTTATTCCATGTTATTAGTCGCTATTCCACATTTGACATTTCCTTTACACGTATGAATAATAATTGGTGAATTTGTACCATAATTATTATTGTTCATCCCACAAAGATATAAAATCTATACAAAAAGATAAAGAATCATGAAGCTACAATTATAATGACAACACAAACTCACGGATTTTTTTTTGTTTGTTGCAAGTGTAGATAACGGAATAACTGAACAAAAATAACAATTACGCACAATCTTTGAATAACTTTGCAGTTTACGACTCAAATCAAACATTGTCAATTAGATGTATCATGTATAACTAAGTACATATAATATTCTATAACAAGCTAATGTATTTCTCATCGAGTTACTAAATTATCAAAGAAAACTTGAGATATCCAAACTAATTATTTATTGTCAATACTCGATGAATTTAAAATTAATAATGTTAAGCTTATGGGACCGCTGGACTGATAAAATGTCCCTTTTGTCTCTACACACACATATACATCTCTATATATATACATATGCCAATAATTTCTTTTCATTACAAAACCATTCTATTAGATATTGGAACCCAAAAATCAAAAATAATCACACTCATCATCATCATCATCATCATCATTCTTTGGAATCATCAGATCATAATGAGCAACTCAAAATCATACTGGAGGAAACAAAGATGGGGAACGCCGCCACAAACGTTAACGCCATTAATGGAAGGACCAGATCCAGACATGCAAGACGAAAGGGCCAAGAAGGAGAGCTCATGGGAAGCGATTAGAGAATGGTTTAAGGTTCAAAAGAGCATTTCCGGAAATATGTCTTCTCCTTCAGTACAGCCACTGTGCAACAGTTACGACGTAGTGGCCAAGGGGCAAGACTTGAGGCTCTTGCTCGGCGTTTTGGGTTGTCCTCTTGCTCCAATCTCCGTCGTCGTCGTCTCCGACCTATTATCCGATGATCCTCTTCTTGGTTCTTTTCAAATTAAGAATGTCCCATTTGTGAGTATCACCATTTAATCCCTCTCTATATAACTGATCGTTTATACTTTTTTAAGAAAATAATTTTGTTGCAATGCAAGATATATATATATATATATATAACACAATCTAAAAACTAATAGGTTAATAATACTGTGTAAACACAACTATATAGTGATTGTTAATAAGTAAATGGAATTTCCAAATGGTTAGTTTATATTTTAATTTGATAAATTAAGTTGGAAATTAAAAGTCGTTTAGATAGTGGTCTTTCAGATAAGATTAATGAAAAAAAATCGGTAGTAATTTCTTTTTTTAATGGTATAATGTCCAATTTAATCTCCGAAAACATACATAAACCTATAAATTGTTTGGATGTATATATGGATTGTCAAGTAATTATATGTATAAATATGTACAGGAGACTTCGACAGCGCATTATATAATACAGCAATACTTAGCGGCGACGGGGTGTCTAAAGCGAGCTAAGGCGGCGAAGAACATGTACGCGACGGGGATAATGAAAATGAGCTGCTGTGAGACGGAGATCGCCGCCGGTAAAAGCGTTAAAACACTCGGCGGTGGCGGAAACGGTCGGAGCGGAGATAGCGGTTGCTTCGTGTTGTGGCAGATGCAACCTGGTATGTGGTCTCTTGAGCTCGTTCTCGGTGGCACTAAACTCATCTCCGGCTCCGATGGTAAGACCGTTTGGCGCCATACGCCATGGCTCGGTACTCACGCCGCTAAAGGCCCTCAACGTCCACTTCGTCGTCTCATCCAGGTAATTTTTCTTTTGATAAACACTCCAAATGTTAGTTACAAAAACAATTTGGGGTTATTAAAATGTATAATGAAAAAAAAATACACACAAATTTGTAGTTTAAGAAAGGTTTTAAAAAGATTAGAAATTGCTTTGAACACATTGATAACATTTCTCTAATCGTTTGTGGTCTGTTTAGAATTCTAATTTATGATAGTTTATAAAACGATCTATTCACTTATTTTTTTAAGTTCGATTTATTGGAAATTAATTGCATATGCTTTGGCTAATTACATAAGAAAAACACAGATGACGTCATAAGATTGTTCAAGAGATAAAAAGAGTAGTCGTTGTCCAATTAGAAACGAAAGCTGATAAAAAAAAAAAATATATATATATATATATATATTTAACCTGACAAGTGATGGAGAAGCTGTCTCCTTCTTTCTTTTTGCTTTCTTTTGAAACTTCAAAATCAAACAAGACCCCACATTACCCACTCTTGACTCTCCCACCACCGCACGTGGTCTCTCCTTTTCTGTCACGTGACGTCATCTGTTAAAATTGAAATGCAGATTTGTATTTATTGTTTAAAACGAATGCATACTTACTAATCTTCTATATAATGTTTTTGCTAATTGTTTCAGTTTTAGTTCCCTTTTTAGTAAGGTATGAGGTTTTTTCCCTAGAATATTGTCGGGGTTATATATACTCATTTTCTTTTAATTTTTAGAGATACTGAAATAATTTATCAGCGAGACAGAACGATCTGTTACGTAACTGACAAACTGTGTACAATTATTGGTTAAAAATGTACATATTATAATGTATGTATGAAATAGAGTGTTACTATTATGCATGTATATATATATATATGTTCCATCATGAATACGATCTTACATTCATTCAATTTTAAAGTGGGGGAACTTCTTGGGATTATCAACGTTTGTCTTTCGACTTTATCTTTTTTGCTTTTAAATCTTTTGCTTTGTTGTTCTTGTCGTTCAAACCCCAACGAATATTTGTCGGACACATTTATGTTTTGGTATAATATTACTAATAAACCCGTTTCTTTTGTAATTGGGCTTTTTACAGGGCTTGGATCCAAAAACCACAGCAGGTCTATTCGCAAAGGCCCAATGCTTAGGCGAGAGGAGAATCGGCGACGATGACTGTTTCGTCCTAAAAGTCTCCGCCGATCGTGACTCATTGATAGAGCGGAACGACGCCGGAGCTCCGGCAGAGGTTATACGCCACGCACTGTACGGATATTTCTGCCAGAAGAGCGGTCTACTAATCTATTTGGAGGATTCGCACCTCACTAGAGTCACGACGATCTCGCCGGAGGACGAGGCGGTTTACTGGGAGACGACAATCGGAAGTAGCATCGGGGATTACCGCGACGTTGATGGAGTCGCCGTCGCGCATTGTGGCCGTGCCGTTGCGACAGTGTTCCGATTCGGAGAGACGTCGTTGCAGTATAGCAGGACGAGGATGGAGGAGATCTGGAGGATAGACGACGTCGTTTTCGATGTGCCTGGGCTTTCATTGGATTCCTTTATTCCTCCCGCCGATATTTTTGAAGATGATAACATTAATAATATTCACAGTCATGTAAATTCCCGGTAAACGTGGACTAATTTAATAACCAAAAAATCAATTTATTGGCGGGTTAGTTGATGGTATATGACGACTATATGTACATTTTGGTTCTATAAAATCTAAAAGTTGGTGTTTTGTTATGTTGGGTTGTATGATAATGACAAATAGTCTAACATTTGATTGGGGTTGGAGACATCATATTAAAATGCTAGTTTAGACTTTTATGTTTTCAGATATTATCATGTTTTTTTCTGTTAACAAGAAAATTGTTATGTTGTTTGACCAAAAAAATAGGAAAATAATATGTTATGTGACAATGTTAGAGGCCCATCAAAGTAAAATGCAAATATAAATATCACTCTTACTGGCCATTGTAGTAAAAAAGTGTCGTTCTTCAGACGTCAGCAAATACAAATGGGCCGTTCTCTTCCCTTCGCAATGTAACAAATGAATAATTTGTGTTTTTTACTTATCAAAATATATGCGTAAATTTTGGATTTTTTTTGGGAAAAATAGTTAATTTATGAATGTACTTTGTTACTTTGTTAAGAGACAATTGATCAACATCCACATATACCAAAGATAAAGTATAGTTTTGAAAGATATAATATCAAAAGAAGTATAATATTCTTTTGTTTTCTTTGAGAAATAGAAGAAGTAAGGGAAGAGAAATGGAATCCAAGGTCGAGATCGTAATGTGCCTAGATAGATGATTGTATTTAACTTTTTTTTTGTTGAAAATTGATTGTTTTTAATTTGCATGGAAGAATGTGCATAGACCATCTATGAGACCGTTACCTTTATTACTTTTATTTAGTTATTATAAGTACTTTAATTTGCTTAACAACCATAATAATTACCATATGATATGCGTACAAACATTAACTTTTATTATAATTATAATAATAATTATTATTATTTAAAAATGATGATATGGAAGTAAAGCTACGATCACATGCACGTTTATGCATGTGAAATGCGGAAAAAGTATGGAAAATATAAAAAGCACTGAATAGTTCAAATAGTTAACTTAAGGCTTAATTGGTGTGATTCGTGCAACAAAATATTCATTAAACATGCATCCAGCATCACTGTCATTCCATATCCAATTTGCATATGATGCATCTTCAGATTCTTCACAATGACACTGGTTGTTATAAAATTTTATAATTATATATCCTGGATCCAAAAAAGAAGCCGAATATTTTTTATCATCTACAGTAATTAATTATATCAAAATTACAGTGAAATAGATCGAACTGTGATTCCCCAAACCAATAATGCATTCAGGGTTTCAGCCACTTCACTACATGAGTTGCTTATGACACTGATTGTTGAACTATACGTACAATTCAATAGTCAAATTACATAATAAAATATTATATAATAATTTTTAAAATATCCATATATATATATATTGTAATTATGTTTAGTTGGTTATAGATGAACAGATTAATCAAACTAATTCTGTTTGACATTTATTTTTTGATTTTATTGAGAATTTGATAGTATACTGGTATTAAAGTTTCCATGTTATTCCGAGCTTAACTAGCCGAATTTGAATGCATGTAATGATTACAAGAAGATACAAAATGAAGAGTATGTTTTACTAACAAATTTTTGTTTAACATTTAGGTAAATGTATAATAGTATATACTATATAGGTAAGGTAAGACTTTGAAAATATATATATATACCTGGATGAAATGCATGAATGGTGTAAATAATTAAATGACGTGCCAAAAAACGTTTTGTTTAGTCTAATAAAATAGGTTTCGAATTATGGGGAACGTAATTAGAGGGAAGTGTGGGGGCGTAGGTAAAAGGAGAAGAGAAGCTTCCTCGAGAAGTGCACACATGGGAGTGCGTTTATATCTCTATCTATATATGCTTCTCCTTCTCTTCTCCTTCTATTCTCTTTCTGCCTTTTGTTTTTCCCAGCTTTTAGAGAGAGAGATAGAGAGAGACTTAGAGAGAGAGACTGAGAGAGCTTTCTCTTTTACATGCCAACTTGCAGTGATGACCAGATCTTTATATTTTTTTCTCTCTCTATCACCAACAAAGTTGATTAGTACATATATATGAGCCGTAATTTGAATTTTGTTGTGTGACTAATTGGATGCATCGAGTGAACAAAATCATCCGTTATCAAAGCAAAACTTTCGATTTACCACTTTATGTATTTAATTAAAATTTAGGAATTAAGACTGAATTCTAGTTATCATTTTTTTGGTAAATAGATATATGTAGTACTAATTAGTGGTCATATGAAGCAAAAAAGAAAGAAAAGAATAAAGAACAAAGATATCTACGGAAGGAAAGATAGATACTCAGTGTCGGTTAATTTCTCTTATGACAAGTTCTTTTATTTCTTTTGGAAAGGATCTTGCAGCTATCAACCTCTACACACACAGATACATACTTACTTACATGGATACATATAAAATCTAGTGACTATGTACATTTGAATCAAAGTTTACAGCTTTTCTTGCTGTTTGCATGTGGATTTCCCAAAACCCTAAAACCTTTTGCTTTGATGGGGATCATCATCATTAATATAACTGGCTTTGCTCTTCCTTTTCTTATTTACTCATGAGTTTTTTACCATACACTTTAATTTTAAGTTTGATTTAAAATTAGTTTCCCGAGGCAGATATCCCATTTTAGCGTAATCATTTATAAGGCATCAAGTACAAACTAACTTGAGATAGAAATAACTAACTCATGAAAAAGCAAAGGGCCCTTCAAAAGCTATAAATTATCGTACATGCCTTGAAACATGAGCGATCTCTATTCTTGACCCATAAATGTTCATTATTTGTCCTATAAAATGTTACGTTCCTGCATGAGATATATATACTGGTTAAGGCATATTATATGTAATATAACAAATATACGCTGGTTAAACTATCTTCTTCTTTTTTTTTTTAATGTTTACTTTAGTATATTACATTTTTTGGTATATGCCTCTAATTTGGTAAGACTGTCAATCATGAAAATCGTACAAAAAATATATAAACTAAAAATTTGGATTTTATTTAAGATCTCAATTTATTTGAATAGTAGCACAAAATAACTGCTTAAAACATAATAATATCAAAATAGTAAAACATAAAACACACGAAAACATTATGTGGCTGAAAAAAAAATTTATAGAATCACTCGGCCATTCTACTGACTAGCAATGTGAAGAAGATCAATTTTAAATAGTTGACTAGAAAAATTAACGAATATATATATATATATGTATAGAATAGATATCCTAAATATTATAGCAACAACAATAATATATATATTTCCAGACTTCCAGTACAAATAAAACACGAGCAAAACTAATCCGATCGACAAACATATATAAGAAATTTTGTATTTTGTTTTTTGGTCTCATCATCTAAACACTAACTCAAGCTCATAATGGACAAAAGATATATCTCGTTCTCACTTCTCATGCATCACATATATCAAAATCAATTACTGTATCACCCAAATGGTGAGTTCCTTCCTTGTATTAATCCACCATTAGGATTCATCATAGGACTCAATGGTGATCTTCGAGGCGATGGCCTTTCCAGTAATTTTCCACCATTATTCCCTTCATCACTTGATAAACCCGACTTCCTTTCATAAATTTCCGACAAAGAATCCAAATCCGTGGAGACATGTGTAGCCATTTGTATCTGAATCCGATGCTCATCATCGAGCGGTTGGTTTCCAGCAAGATCTTGATCTTGGTCAGACCACATCAGAAGTCCTTTCCTTACTTCGTTACCAAAAGTAGGGTTTGGTCGCTTCTTCCCCAAGTAAATGTTGGTGTCTGCTGCATTGTTGGCCGTGAAATGATTCTCTATGTTCTGATGATGGAAGTTATGGTGGTCGAGGACTTGATCGGTTGTGTTTCCATAGATGTTTAGGTCTTGAAACGGCGGGAAACTAAGAGGATGAGGAGGTGGACCCACCGCTGAGGAAAGACTCGAACTTCCCAAATTGCCCTTGTACCCTCCTCCGGCGGTAGCTGCTGCGGTGGCCGCTGCCATGTTCTCACCGGCTAGAGTTTGACAAGCTCTCTCCAATATAGATTGCATGTACTTCCCTTGTGCCTCAATCCTCAGTTGCAAATGTCTCTGCACCTATATTTTTCAATTACAATCTATATTATGGATCAAATTAAGTTTTGTAAGAGTTAAATATCATAAAATATTTATAAATTGATTACCTCTAACTGTTCGTGTAACCTTCTCTGCACTTCCATTTGCATCCTGATCAAATAATCAAAATTTAAGTTGCTTCTAATATAGAAAGATAGCTGAAGAAGATAAAACTGACGAGAAGAGAGGATATATATACTCATTCATGTTGCGACTCATCATGCCAGAAGAAGAAGCTACGTTGCGCTGAATATCCATGGCAGAAGCTACACGGTAATATAAATATTTTTTTTTTAGAAAAAAAGACGACGGATCAAAATATAAATACATACACATACATGGTGTAATTTCTAAACCCTAATATGATAGAGAAAGGAAGAGTAGTCACCTCTTGAACCTTCCTTCGTGGAGTGATCTCCGTACTCCTTGTGCGGCTGCTTTCCAAGCCTGAATTTCTGCACCCATAGATCCAAATAATTTTATAATAATTATATTATCAAGTGAAAGGAACAAAAAAAAAAGATAAAGAGAAGAGAAAATTAAAAGCAATGAAGGAAAGAAAACCCTAATTTATATTTGTGTCCATACCTGAAGATGGCTCTTTAGGTGGTAAAGAGTAAGACCCTTCACACCCATAACTCTCATAATCGTCTTTGGAGTAGCTTCTGCAAATATATTAAAAAACATTCAAAAGCTTATTTTTGAAATTACTTGTTTGGTTAATTAAAGCAATCAAAGATTATTTGTGTTTGGAGGTGTGCATACTGTCGGGGCCGCCGAGCTGAGCGACAGCGTCGACGAAACGTTCGTGGAGTTCGACGGTCCAACGCAAACGCGGTTTAGGGTCGGTGGTGAGGACGAGGCCTGAATCGCCTTGAACGCACATAGCTCTGTTCTCATATGAACCATTCATACTTGAAGGTTTCTTAGCATGGAACATTCTCTCTTTCTCTCTCTCTCACTCTCTTTCTCTCTCTAAAAGAAGTATTCAAGGAAGCGAATGTGATGCAAAAATGTGAGAGAATACGATGCGTTTTTGAAGAGATCAGATGACGGCTTTTTGCTCTCTCTCTCGTCTTCCTTTTTTATTTTGTTTGTGAATAAAATAAAATAATATTTGGGTAATAAATATTCTTTGATCGTTAGTATAATAAGGAGGAGAATTAAAGTTTTAGACTAGTACGCAGACGTTCCTTTGTGAAAAGATACTGTCGCTATCTTTTCAATTGTTTTTTTTATCCTCCAAGCTTGAGTACCTTTGAATTGAATTACTTTCAATAAAAAATGCCAGTAAGGGCATTATACGTAAACATGAAGTAATTCATGCCAGTCTTAAATATATTACTCTAAAATATTGCACCAATTTAATTAATAACAAAATATTATGAACGCAATTCATATATTGATTTTTTTTTTGAAAAAGATAAGTTTTAACGTCGGAGATCTTATACGAGTTAGCTAAATACACATAAAAAGAGATATACGTATGTAATATAAGCATTAATTCTTACAAAAATAGGAGTTTTTTTTCTACCTTTCTGATATAACCTTTAAAATGTTTTGAACTATCTCAAAATTCTCTTGAACTTAAGGTATTAATTAAAGATATAATTTTAATATTTTGTTGTCGTCTTTCCTCTCTATTAATGTTAATTCATGCTCTTTTGTTGTTGTAGAAGTAATATATGAGTACGATGTATAACCATCTTTGCAGTATTATACTTTGTTCCTCGGATGTATATACGTATTTAAGCATGGTAAACATTTACTAATTTATAGGCAGATAAAACTAAAAATAAATGGGACAAGAATTATATAAAAACGAGAATATAGACTTTCAAAGGTGAATATATTAAAGTAGTATATATTCTATTCAATTAAGACCGCACGAGGATAGTCATATAGTAGACTTATAGTATGTCTACATCGTTATATATTGCAACCGGGACACATACGTATCTAAACAAAAAAATCCACAAGAATTTATCATTATGGTAGGGTAAACCTTTTTGGCTAATTATGAGCTGAATATCCAATTCTAAGCAATGATGAGTTTCGTTATAGATTAATGGACCGTATATTTTGAAACAAAAATTATAATAACACCTACAATCCAAAAACGTTAGATGGATTTGTTTTTTATATACAACAAAAACGTTCCTTGGTTCAAAATCAAGGTTCTACATGGAGAAGGAATGGTTTACGTTTTAATAATTATTATCAGAAGATGATTCCAATTATTATCAGAAGATGATTCCAGGCCGAGGGAAATTGTTGATCAAAGTTCCAAAACTTTCTTATTAACAGAAAAAGTGGGTTACATCCACAATTAACCGAGACACATACGTGCTTACAAATGAGAATGATGTCTACCACTACAAACGTTTAAACCAGCCTTGTTATTATTGATCTCATTCTCAGTTGATAACTCAAACTTAGATAATTGGATCTTCAGCAATGCCAAAAAGCTTTATTTCAAAAACTGGTTTATCGTCCGGGTGATTAAACAATTTAATTAACTCATTAAGTCCCTAAAATGAAAATGACGTTCAATTCTAATTTCCTCTATCTGTACGATAATTACTAAATTACCTTATTTTACAAATGATGATAACTCGTTTTTACATACATTTAACGTATATATCTGTATATAAAATTACATATACATGTAGTTAATATATTAAATTAAATTGCATAAATCATATATTACTAGCTCACTAATAGCATATTTTTAGAAAATTTTTGGTTTACTGGACGAATATATAATTACATGGAAAATGGCCAACCTGATATATATGAGTGGGAGGTCCCATGGCATATTTACATAGAACAAGAATAAGTCAATGAATATGGCTGAGATTGATATGCACACAAAAAGAGAGAGAGCATATGATCTAAGAATATTAAATTTCCAGTAAATCACAAAATTTAAATATATTATAGATTTTACATTAAGTATGACAGGAAAACATGGAAATGTTTATTGTAGCAATATTTAGTGAAGGAATATGGAATTAATGTGGGAAAAACAACATAAGAATATCGAACCAATACTTTATATTACATGGTTTAGTGATATGTGGAGTATTATGCATCAATGTGTAAAGATAATGTTACTGTCGGGGACCTCTTCATCTACTTATTAAAGCTCTTTTATTCTTTATTTTTTTTACCATATGTTTTTCTTCTTTACTCCATTATTAATTTTATATTTTGGTTAAAGCTTGCTGGGGCTATAACCCTTTTTGGCTTTTGTAGGACTGACGATTGTGCAGCTATACATGGTAATACATTTTCCAGGTATTAATGACTTGAATTTAATTAGAAACAAGGTTTGTGTTTTTGTTATAGCAACCATGTTCTTTTTTTTAACAAAAAAAAAACAATGTCTTTCTTTACCAGATATATTAAATACTGGGTATTAAACGAATTGTTTGTACAATAAATTAATCATCGCACACTATTCTGGCTAGGCTAAAATAAAAATGGCGTTAACTTTTAAAATTTAATAATAAATCAAAGTTCAAATTGCATGAGAATTGGAATCAATTCTTCGCCTCTTTGATGAATAAAGATAGATTCTTATTGCGCCAACAATATTAAAAATGAAAATAGAACTCCCGCGATAGATGCTAACCGTATAAACTTGGCCAGCCACAATTACATAATTTACATGCAATATGTTTACAATACTTTTTGACCCCTTTTAGAATTTAGAAACCCACACATTATTCGTGATTATTAATTATCGCGATATTTTTCTCGGCAATCATTATCAAATCATTATTATTCATGGTTATATAGAAAATTTATTCATAGTCATATGTTAGTATAATAGCATTAGCAAATCAGACGGCCTTGAATCATTTGTGGTTTTTCTCTCTTGATTAATGTTTGTAATTAATGATTTTAAGCGAAACTTAATTTTGCTTTAAATGAAAGAAGCGCAGATTTTTGTTTTTTGTTTTTATTAAAACCAAGTAAAGCTAATATTTAACTTTTAGCTAATTGTTGTTGAAGCAAACTAAGAAACTTAAAAAAGAATAAATTAATGACAATAAAGTAAGTCGGTTTAAAAAAAAATAGAGGCCACGGTTGCTTGAACTTCAAGCATCTTTTTTATGGTGCTTTGGAATTTCTTCTTCGAAATGAATATATTCCTTCCACCCTTCTTATCTTTCCCCGATTAAAAAATAAAAAATTCCCAAGTTTGGCATATAACCATGTAATCTAAGTATCTAACGCTATTTTGAAACATAACTGAGCGTAATTTTTTTTAAAATGATTAATATCTCAACTTTGATAAATTGATAAAATGCTTTTTTAAAACACTAATTCACTGAATGCTATAATTCTCCTAATTAGTGCCACGCACATGAGCCGTATAGGTGTTTTATTGAGTTTAAGATTTGATGAAACAAAAAATAAAAGTCGACTTATCGGAAATTTCCGATAATTGTAAGCAAAGAACAAGACCGCTCTCTTTTTAGTATATACAAAGCAAAAATTGTCCGAATATTACACAGAAATTCACTTAAAACTAAAGATCAACCCCCAGAATATTATTCAAAAACCATGCCAAATAATTGGTCGTAGACCAAATCTTTATTTTTTGATAAGTATCAGAAGAAAAAACCTCAAAGGCTGAGGCTTCATTGGAAGGATATATGTAGAGGAGGAACTTCCGGTTTCCAAGCTGTTCAACAAACCAAATCACTGTCTGTTCATATCTCCCAAGCATACGTATTTGATCTGCATCCAAGCCAAGCCTCAATAACGAAAAGTAATTTACAAAATAACTTTATGAAAAATTTAGAAGGCAGATTCTCTTAGATGTGTCTTGTTAGCGTTTGGGAGCAATCACAGGAAAATGTAAAAAATAACCCACCCATAACATTGCATACTTGATAACGTCTTCATGTGAGATTTCTAGTATTATAATCAGTTCAATCTCTAGACAAGTTGATTCGATCAAATGAGGGCGTAGGTCGATAAGAGAGAGAGAGAGAGAGAAGAGTTTCTGAGTCACCTCAAGGTATTCGTCCATACCATACTTGGATCCTTCCCTTCCAAGACCAGACTGCTTCACTCCCCCGAATGGAGCCACCTGCATTTAAAAGATGTAAGCAAATGTATGGCTATGATATAGAGAAGGTGTTTCTTTCATTTTTCTGGTCTTGCCTCTGTTGATATGAGTCCTTCATTCACCCCTACAAGTCCGTATTCAAGGGCTTCAGAGACACGCCATGATCGTTGGACACTATTTGTGAATATATAAGCAGCAAGTCCTGCACACACACATTTCGTCATTTCCTTGATCATGTTAGTCCAAGACTCTGATGACATATATATATATATATATATATATATATATATTACAAAAGGTTACTAAGAGTACATGAGGTCAAACCTGCAATTGTGTCATTAGCGATTCTGATAGCGTCCTCCTCGGTTTTGAACCGAATAAGGGGAGCTACGGGTCCAAAAATCTCCTCCCTAAGAAAAGCAAATCAGTTTTTCTGATGATAAAAATGCGAGGAAAACTAGATGTTTCTGATTCATTCTTTAGAAATACAGAAAGCTAGAACACTGCAATTCTGTGAATCTTTCAAATGCAATTCTGTGAATCTTTCAAAACTTACTTAGACATGAGCATGTTACTCATAACATCGCGGATAACAGTAGGCTCATAGAAAGTCATCCCTAGACTGTGCCTTTTGCCGCCGATAATGATTTTTGCTCCCTTTAAGAAAAAGACAACAAGTACATAAACATTCCTCTTGTTAGTTTGGGGAAATACAAGAACTGTTTCTTGTTGTGAATGGCATACAATTATGAAATATGAATCGCCTTGCTTAGAAACCAAGGTTAACAAGGATGCATTAAGGGAAAATACAAACCTTGGAAACAGCATCTTGTACGAATGACTCTACCTGCAATTATTTAGCATGAAGAGCAAGACTATTAACATTAGTCCCATCAAACATCATTCATGTGTATGGAAAAAAAAAGAAAAGAAACTGGAAAATATTATTAATGTACCTTTTGAATGGCTGCATCGTTTATAAGTGGACCCTGTAAGAACGTTGCAGTGGCAAATAAAATTACAGCAAAATAGTAGTGTCACAAGAGACTAGACTCAGTTAACGTTACATCAAGTCGCTTGTTATGCTAGTTGACAGAACTAGAAACAAGGTATCAATAATCTTTGCTTATTCGATAGCAAATAGCCTAAATTTTTATATATTTTTTTAATCCCCCAATCATCATGGGTATAACATCACAAAGCAGAAGTATAATATTAAAAAGGGCATACCTGGGTTGTCCCCTCCTTAAAGCCATCTCCTACTTCTAATTTTTGAACCGCTTCAGAAAAGGCCTCAGCGAATTTATCATAGATACCTGTGGCAAAAATATAAAATATTAAGTTAAATAATACTAGATGCAAGATCCATAAGGGAGTGTGCCGAGTAACCCAATTCTTACCATCTTGCACAAGTACTCTGTTCGCACAAACACATGTCTGACCACTATTCCTAAATTTCGCTGCAAGCTGCAAAATCACATAAAATGGGTAATATTATGTCTTACACTATTGACGATACCCATAGTGCACCACTAAGAAAATTGTACTTTAAACTAAGAGCTCAGATAGGTGAAGCCCGGAAGTAAGTAACACAAGCAAAAAGAGAATATACATATCTCGTTTGGAAAAGAAACGGGATATGGTCACTACAAAGCAACTTCTTCAGATGGACCACCGTTTTTGCGTATTTTAGGTAAAGCCTTAACACGCATGACTATCACTTACCGTTCCTTTTACTGCTACTTCCAGGTCTGCATCATCAAAGATTATGGAAGGTGCATTTCCGCCAAGTTCTAGAGAAACCTACATCAAGAAAAAAATAAGAGGTAGGAGCGATATTCGATCTGGAGAACATTTTTCAAATAACATGATATTGCATACCTTCTTGACAGTAGGTGCAGCAGCTGCCATCAACTTCTTCCCAACTGCTGTTGACCCTGTGAAAGTGATTTTCCTCACCTGAGTAGCACAAGAAACAAAAATAGTCAATTGATAGGGACTTATCATCAATCACTACTAATGGCAGAGATACAAATAAAAGAAAGTACACAAAGATGATTAGAGAAACCTGTGGACTCGAAAGCAAAGCATCCCCAATTTCAGGAGCGTTTCCCATGACCACATTAAGTGCACCCTATTGAGAAAACATGCACATAAATCATACAAAAAGCTATAAGAAAAAATTAAAATAAAACCAAACCAGCTGCAAAGAAATGGTCTTCTCAGAAAGTTCATGAGCACATTAGAAACACTGTTAAAAACTAGCTTTCCAGCGTTTGGAGATGGGTTGATAAGATCAGACACATTTTTAAACGGATTGAATACATGTTCAAACTTGACAAAATATCAGGTCACCTCCCTGACATGAGGATATCAAACTTGATCAGACCAGAGATGCTGGTGGGTGATATAGTTCAAGCCTAAAACCATAACTTACTGGAGGAACTCCAGCTTGAAGTGCAAGTTCAGCCGCAGCAAGTGCTGTTAGTGGCGTAAGTTCAGATGGTTTAACAACCACTGTGCATCCAGAAGCAAGAGCAGGGCCAACCTGCAGTACCGTTAACCATCCACATCAAAGTTTATCAGAACATTTCTACATAATCTACTGGGACAGTATACTAGACAGGCCCTTTACAGAAAAAAAAAGAAGGTATATTGATATAGTAAAGAAGCAAGACCTTCCGAGTAATCATGGCTAAGGGAAAGTTCCAAGGGGTAATTGCACCAACAACACCAACAGGCTGCATAGAAAATCAATAAAGTCAAGCAAGGCAGGTGTAATACAGCCACATGAAGTGAAAAAGGTACAGGTGGAATCTCCACATATAAAAGGGAATTCGCGAAGCCACATTAAGGTTTTCAAGGTTCTCATATATCATTGCTACAAGACTTGGAACTTTCAAAAATATATTTTGAGAAGGTGATGGGAATGCAAGAGCAAAGTCACAGGTTTCCAAACCATATGGCATGGAAATTATTTAACCATAACATTTCCAATTATTTAACTCCAAGTAAAGCTAAGGGTCCAGAATTTTGTCACTCAAAAATAAAAGCTGCATGTATATATACAGGACGCTGGGCAAACCTGTTTTAGAACCAACAATCGGCGATCGGACATATTAGGAGGAATTATATCACCGTAAACACGTTTGGCCTCCTCGGCATAGTACTCAATAAAACTTGCCCCATATGCGACCTGTAAACTAAATCACAGAATCATATATTGCATTTAAGAGATGATTGCAAGCAACACTTGAGACAGGCCCAAAACAGCACATTCAATGTTCTCAACTATAAACTGAATCATCTACCTCTCCTATGGCCTCTTTTAGTGGTTTTCCTTGCTCCAAAGTTATAAGTTGTCCAAGTTCTTCCTTGTGTGCAAGCAGAAGGTCATACCTGTGTTAGGAGAAACGAAGTGGATCAGGACCCTCAGTTCCAGCAAAGTGCAATATCTTCAAACAAGATAGCAGAAAATCCCCTAACTCTGCCCATATCTCTAAACTTGACATTAAAAAGGGAGCAGTCATTTGTTTCCAAAAGCCTTGATACTAATACTATGGGAATCTGGCATCCATGCAAAACATTCCTTTAATGCGATCTTAGACTAACCTTATAATCCTCAAATGCACACTTCAAAAGTAAAAGAGTAAGAATTGCTACAGGATAAAAGTTTGTACCATCTCCGTAAAACTTTACTCCTCTCTCCAGCAGTCAATCTGCTCCAAGCTGAATGTGATAAAAATGTATTACAGGAAATAAGTTTCTATTCTTCCCAGCACACTGTTCAGTGTGAATAGAAGTGAACATCAAACATTGAGCAGAAGACGGAACAGTTTCAGATATTATAAGTAAGAAAAGCTCGAAAAAGAAAGAAGCCATGAGTCACATACATGGAAATGCTTCGTAAGAGGATGCAATAGCATCATTTGTCTCTTTGACTCCCATACGTGCAACATCAGCTATAATTTCACCGGTGGCTGGATTGGTAACCTGTCGAGAAGAGAAGAATATATATGATGCCAACAGAAGAGCCCCAAAAGAGACTAGGGTTAAATCAAGAGAAAATAAGAGGACCTTGATTGTGGTCTTGTCATACGAATCAATCCACTTTCCTCCTATTAGACCTTGTGTTCGTAAAAGACCGGAACTCCTGAGCTTTTCGGAAACGCTTCGTGCGTCCATACTCATCTGATAATCAATTCAATTGACGAGTTAACAACAAGTCACAAAAAAAAAACTCCTCACAGTCTCATGGAAAGGCTTTTAGCAAGACATCCGGAGAAGAATGAGCTCTCGTCTCTCTGGTAAAACAATACCCAAATACACTGTTCCTGGTTACTTACCGGCCACTACTAATTGGCAACACGAGATCCAGATATATTATATTCCTTGTGATTTTGGAACATAGATAGATATAAATCAGCAATCGGAAGAAAACTCTCCATCTGCTAGCGACTGAATTCTACGAGTAATATAAATATACAAAAGAAATGATTGAGAATGGTATAGTACCTGGCGACACTGAGAAGAGACGAGCAGGGAAGCATGTGACGAGACAAGCCTTCTGCAACCGCCGATGGCTACACGGGCTGCGGCTCCGACTACCATTTTCCAGTTGGCGAAACTCTCTAAACTTCAATTGATTCAATCGGACAAGACGACGAGAACTAGTAAGAAGCTGTGAATTAGTAAGCAACGTAATCAATCAAGTGCGAAGAGGAGATCAGAAGATGAGTACATAAATATCCCAGAGGTGTTAATAATTTGTCCAATTAGAGGAACAAATCTCAAAGTATTTGATAATTACAGATGAAGAGTAATTAAAATTAATAAACCTTAGTAATACTAATGTAATTAAAATTAGAATGTGGAATATGTATGACAGGTGGGTGATACGTATTTTGACTGTATGCGAGAGTGCGAGAGTGCTAGTGCCAAAAATAGTCGACGTGGCGCTTACACCGTATTTGCCGGGTCTTTTTTGACCCAAAATTTGGCGTGTCTATGTGCGAGCGCAAACGCAAACGCAAAAGTTAGCGTTTAAAAGTCCAAATAATTTTTTCTCCACATTTATGTGCATGGACGGAAAAATTGGTGTTAATAGGGATGTTTCCCTCCCAATCCCATGTTACACAGCATTTTCCATTTTCGGAGTTTTCCTGGTTGCTCGGGCAAAAATCCAATTCCATCTCTCCGACTAAAAGATTTTTTTTATTTCTCTCTTTCCCATCTCGTAACCCTAAACCTAACATTCTTCTCCCCGTTCGACTCGGATCTGTTTTCTCCGTCGTTTCTATTCAGAATCGCCACCACAAATTTGGTGTACAGAAGTTTTTTCTCTGTTTTCCTTGTCGTCAATTTCTTCGGTAATGAGTCCCACCGCGTCAACCTCCACCGTCGGAGGTGGCGGATCGGCTGAGCCTTCCGGTGTAAAGAAAACCTCGAAGCGGCCCAAATGTGATCTATCTCTCACCCGAATTTTCCTACATTGTTCCTGATTCCGTCGATATTTGTTTCAATTTTTGTAGCTAGGGATCGCACTTAGAATTTCTTGTCTTGTTTCTCTTGGAATGCCGATTGAATCTCCACTAGATCCCCATTAATCGATGCATTTTCTTGTTTTTCTCCCAAGAACGAATTTATGGCTTTGGTTTCTGTGTTCTTAAGAAGTGTTGGTGTCTATACATTTCTTTACCAGATTCAAAATTTACTCAGCAGGAGCTTCCAGCATGCAAGCCAATTCTTACTCCAAGTTGGGTAAGTTCCATCTCGGTTATGTCACATTCTTAGATTCACAACTCCAATGGTACGATGGTTGAAATGAATTATTCTTACTCTTTAATTCTGTTTTCTTATTGTTAAATTGCTATGTGCAGGTGATCTTGACATTTCTTGTCGCTGGGGTTGTCTTCATTCCCCTCGGAGTGATCTGCCTATTTGCTTCTCAGGGAGTATGTGCTTCAGGCGAATGTTTCTATCTTTTCTCACCTTTGTTTTCTCGCTTATATTTTGTGGTTTATGGAGGTTATGTTTCATTCGTACGTGAAGGTCGTCGAGATTGTTGATCGATATGACACAGACTGCGTTCCAGCATCTTCTAGGGACAACAAGGTCGCTTACATACAGAGTGAAGGAGATAAGATATGTAACAGAACAATAACGGTAGATATCTTCTTCTGTTGAAAATTTTAGTTCCTTCAATGGTTGTATATGTTAGCTGTTCTCTTGGGTTTGGTTCCTTCACAAACTTGTCTCTGTTTTTGCAGGTCACTAAAACTATGAAGAATCCCGTCTATGTCTACTACCAACTTGAGAATTTCTACCAAAACCATAGACGGTACTTTTCCTTATCTACTCAGTAATTGTACTCGCTTTTGTTTGTTACTTTCCCTGGAATCTACTTATTCTTTCAAGAACACGCCGCAGCATGTGGGACTCCATATTTAGTTTAAGTTTCTTATTGACTGTAATTTTCTAGCTCGTCATGATGGTCTTGATCCATAAAGAGTTTTTGCAGTTCTCAAAGTCGAGAGAAGCATTCATGGAGACGAATTATTCAGAAAATGTGTTTATTTTTAAAAGTTGTGTCGAATAAGATCCATGTACTTTTTCTGCGGTGTGAATATGTTGTTGTTCACAGTTCACTGCCACTAGAATTTCTTGGTCTTTTTTTACCAATCCATGAGGTTTTCACTTCAAGATGTGTTCGTATCAGTTACATCTCTGGTTAATTATATGTGTAGGTATGTGAAAAGTCGAAACGATGCACAACTAAAAAGTCCAAGGGAAGAGCGTGATGTGAAAACTTGTGCACCTGAAGATAATGTGGGTGGAGAACCAATTGTGCCATGTGGTCTTGTTGCTTGGAGTTTGTTCAACGACACTTATCGATTTTCAAGAAATAGCCAACAACTTCCTGTGAATAAGAAAGGCATCTCTTGGAAGAGTGACAGAGACAACAAGTTTGGAAAAAATGTGTTCCCTAAAAATTTTCAGGCAGGAGCGCCTATAGGTGGTGGAACTCTTGATCCCAAGAAACCGGTAAAAAAATTCTGCAGTATCAATTTCGATTTATCCTTTTTTGAATTGGATGTTAACAATTGCAAGAGTTTTTTTTGTTGGACAGTTGAGTGAGCAAGAAGACCTCATAGTCTGGATGCGAACCGCAGCTTTGCCAACATTTAGGAAGCTGTATGGGAAGATTGAAACGGACCTGCACGCTGGTGATACCATAACAGTCATGCTGCAGAACAACTACAACACTTACAGCTTCAATGGCGAGAAGAAGCTCGTGCTATCAACCACTAGCTGGCTCGGTGGAAGAAACGATTTCCTCGGGATTGCATATCTGACTGTAGGCAGCATCTGCCTGTTCTTAGCTGTTACATTCGCCGTATTGTATCTAGTTAAGCCAAGGTACTTTCTCATAAACATCTTCAACCTTTTCTTCTCATGGCCTTCTTCATTTGCTTAGGATAAGACATTAAACCCTTTGGCTTTTCAGATTTGAAATCTGGCCATGAAACTTGATCAATTTTATAGTGTACAGTGAAATGATCTTGTTGTCTAATGGGTTTCAGGCAACTCGGAGATCCCTCGTACCTTTCGTGGAACAGAAGTGCTGGGGGTTGACATTTCTAGAGTTCTGCAGGCAATTAGGCTTGCTCCCTCCATCGTCAAACGGCGTAGTTTTTGGCTGAGCTAACAAAAGAAACGAAAAAGGAGAAAAAAAGTATATAGTCCGATTATAATTCGTGTTGTTGAGAACAACGTTTAATCTCTTGTTTTTTATTTTTGCTTAATCATATATCATTGTAAGATCATGGACAATTAACGGTGTTTAGAAAATATTGTGCAATTAGTTCAAAACTGCATATTAATTAGAAACATTGTCGAGTCCTTTGCTTAACCAATTGGTAAGCTGTTCTCGTGGTGTTTGGATCAAGAAATATCTCAGAATGATTTTCTAATTCATATCGTAATTTCATAAATCTAATATATATCAAGTTTTAATCTTACCTTTTTTTTTTACTAAGAGTTGAGTAATACATTTTTAGATATCCAAAAATTTCTATAATTTTGTATTCTTTACTTACCAGATAATTTTGTTGTTGGTTTTTTTAATTATTATATCTACGATCCACCTGTCAGGTTAACTTGTACACATGTAGACGTTATTATCCTTTATCGTAGTTTAATTGGTTAGATAAGATTATGGCAAAAAGGCAAACATTGGTCAAATAAACTTCGTATCTTCAGCTAACTATTAGTCTATTACAATACAGTAAGTTAGATTTGTTTTTTTGGATGGTCGTCCGGTCGTCAAAGCTCGAATTCCTCGGAAGTATATTTCTCTCTGTCGCTGTCATTTATTTGGTACATGTTTTTTTAAGATTATTTTCTTTTGTTTTCCTGCCTCTCTGTTTCACAATCGAAGTTGTCTGTGTCACTGACTCTGTCTGTTGATGATGACATCTTACGGCGTGGAAACCAGGTTAATACGACGGCGTTTCGGTTGGTTCCAAACTCTCCATGTCTACATCCTCCTCTACCAACCTCCGCTCTTCCGGTTGCTCGTCTCCGATCTCAGGTTAGTGTACTCGCTTTCTCGGCATTGTTTGATTCTTCGATTGCATGCTCGTTGATTTTCTGATTTGTATCGGCTTTTTTTTTGTTCTACTAATGAATTTTCGTGATTTCCCTGGGCTAAATGGAGGTTGAAGTAAACTGGCATCATTCTGCAGTTTGCCACTACTGTGAGAAAATGTTCCGCAATGGAATTCGTTTTATTTGGTCTTTTCGTTTCAATGAATTTGTTCGTTTCTTCGGTTACCTTTTGAAATCGACTCTTTCATAAGCTTCCTTAGTGAGGATTTTGGACTATTACAGTCTCTTACCTGGGATTGTTGCTCATATTATTGGCATCAGTAACTTCAAATATTCAACGTGAATCAATTGGAAGTGTTCTCTCGTTGTGCAGCTACTTTGGAAAGGAGATTAGCAGTAGAAAATACAAGAGCTAACAATGTGGTAAACGACTCAGCTGTGTTTTTCTTTTTGCTATTTGCAATCTTATATTTGCTTCCTTCTGCAATAATGTTGAATAAGATGATAAATTTTGGTCTAGACCAACTGATGTTCTTAAATAATCCAGAGCTTTGAGCAGAGAAAGGAAAAGATTAGGAAGATGTTAGATAAAGTGGAGCTTTCTGTTTCGGCTTATGATACTAGTTGGGTAGCAATGGTTCCATCACCGAGTTCCCAAAGTGCTCCACTTTTCCCACAGTGTTTGAACTGGATTTTGGAAAATCAACACGTTGATGGATCCTGGGGACTTGATAATCGCAACCATCAATCTTCTAAGAAGGATATGTTATCATCTACACTGGCATCTATCCTCGCGTTGAAGAAATGGGGAACTGGTGAAAGACAAATAAGCAAGGGTCAGTTTTTTCTTTCTCTTTTCTTACTATTTGACTTTTGGAAATTTCATGGAATGATGAGTGTCAAAAACAAAAAAATTCAGGTCTCCAGTTTATTGAGCTGAATTCTGCATCAGTCTCTGATGAAACCATACAGAAACCAGCAGGATTTGATTTTATATTTCCTGGGATGATTGAATATGCTAGAGATTTGAATCTGGCGATTCCACTGGGCTCAGAAGTGGTGGATGCCATGATACAGAAAAGAGATATGGATCTTAGAAGGTAAACTCCTACTCTTTTATTAGCATATCAGATGAAATTGAAAGCTTTTCTTGGTACATAAGTCTTCATCTCAACAACCTTTGTTGATCTAATGTTTGATCAGTGATAGTGAAAGCCTTTCAAAGGGAAGAGAAGCATATCTGGTCTATGTTTTAGAGGGAGCAAGAAGGATTAAAGATTGGGATTTGATTGTGAAATACCAAAGGAAAAATGGATCACTGTTTGATTCTCCAGCTACAACAGCAGCTGCATTTACTCAGTTCAGAAATGATGGGTGTCTCCGTTATCTCTCTTCTCTCTTCCAGAAATTTGAGTCTGCAGGTCAATTGATCAGCATGGCTTTCATTTTCGTTGTATTTAAAGATTTTCACCGCTAAAATATTTCCTTATCATTTTCAGTTCCCACAGTTTATCCCTTTGACCAGTATGCACGTCTTAGTATAATTGACACTCTTGAAAGCTTGGGAATCGATAGGGACTTCAAGAACGAAATCAGAAGTGTATTGGATGAAACCTATAGGTAAATGCCTTCAGCACAATGATATTTTTTTTTAATGATGGTAATCCCACAAAAATTTTTTTTTGTTGTATTCATGATTTTCCGAAACCACCATTGACCAATAAACAGATGCTGGCTGTGTGGGGATGAAGAGATATGTATGGACTTGGCCACTTGTGCTTTGGCTTTCCGATTATTGCTTGCTCATGGCTATGATGTGTCTTACGGTGAAGTGACCTCTTTCTTTCAGATGAATATATCTTAGATTTGAGTCAACTGCATGTATGTGTTAAGTTGATACGTTGTGTTTGTAGCAGATCCGCTGAGACCATTTGCAGAAGAATCTGGTTTCTCCAATACTTTGGAAGGATATCTGAAGAATACAAATTCTGTGTTAGAACTACTCAAGGCTGCCCAAAGTTATCCACATGAGTCAGCTTTGAAAGAGCAGTGTTTGTGGACTAAACAATATCTAGAGATGGAAGTGTCCAAATGGCCAATCACCTCTGTTCGAGATAAATACCTCAAGAAAGAGGCAACCTTTTTAACTTAACTATCTTCCTGTGGGATCCTTACAGAATAATCAATATCTGAGAGTCTTAACCTTTTCAGGTTGAGGATGCTCTTGCTTTCCCCCCCTACGCAAGCCTGGAAAGATTAGACCATCGGAGAAAGTTACTCAGTGGTATTTGTGTGGAAAACACAAGAGTTATGAAAACCTCATATTGGTAAATCCTGATGTTTCATTCCTTTCTTGGTTGATCAAACGATAATATAACCAAGGCATTAGGTCTTAGTTTTTTCCTTCTATGTGCTAGTCTGCCCAATATTTGCAGCTCTGATATCCTGAAGCTAGCTGTGGAAGACTTTAATTTCTGCCAGTCTATACACGGTGATGAAATGAAACTTCTTGATAGGTGCACTCCCAGCTAAACTTTCTCAATTTATTCAGCTTTCTTGCATAAGCTAATGAGTTTTACGACTATAACCACACACTTGTGCGAGCTCTCTGTTATGACTGTTTTCTGTTCAGGTGCCAGTTTTATTTGCTATATCATCACGAATCAGCTTATATGGCTAGATCTCATATCTCTATAATTCTGTTCACCACTTGCAGATGGATTGTGGAGAATAGATTGCAGGAACTAAAATTTGCCAGACAGAAGCTGGCTTACTGTTACTTCTCTGGGGCTGCAACCCTTTTCTCTCCAGAACTATCTGACGCTCGTATATCGTGGGCCAAAGGCGGAGTATTGACAACGGTTGTAGACGACTTCTTTGACGTTGGAGGTTCCAAAGAAGAAATGGAAAACCTTATACACTTGGTCGAAAAGTATATCGATTTGGCTCCTCTCTTCAATGCTCTTTCTCTATTTGTTCCTTGGTAAAAAAAGAATAAAACATAGCATGTTCCTCGCGTACAAATTTGCAGGTGGGATTTGTACTGTGTTCCTGAGTATTGCTCCGAACAAGTGGAGATCATTTTCTCAGTTCTAAGGGACACAATTCTTGAAACAGGAGAAAAAGCACTCATCTATCAAGGACGAACCGTGACACACCACATTGTGGCAATTGTAAATATTAATCATTGCAAACTAAATCATATTATCTGTTTTTCGTTTCCTAACAACTCATATGACCAAAATAGTCAATTGGTGTGATATTTTATGTAGTGGTTGGACTTGCTCAAGTCTATGTTGAGAGAAGCCAAGTGGTCCAGTGACAAGTCAACTCCAAGCTTGGACGATTACATGGAAAATGCGTACATATCATTTGCACTAGGACCAATTGTCCTCCCAGCGACCTATCTGATCGGACCACCACTTTCAGAAAAAACTGTCGAAAGCCCTGAATATAATCAGCTATACAAGCTCGTGAGCATTATGGGTCGTCTTTTAAATGACATACAAAGCTTTAAGGTAGGACTCTTTGCTTAAAATTTTGACTAAGATGCTGAGCTGAAAGACGTCTACACCCCAACATAGTAACAGTAATGGTAGGATTCTGGTTTAATGCGTCCATGTTTTTGGCAGAGAGAAAGCGCAGAAGGAAAGCTGAACGCAGTTTCATTGCACATGATACACGAGCAAGACAATCGCAGCAAAGACGAGATCATAGAATCAATAAAGGGTATAGCAGAGACAAAGAGGGAAGAACTGCAGAAGCTAGTTTTGAAGGTGAAAGGAAGTGTGGTTCCAAGGGAATGCAAGGAAGCGTTCTTGAAAATGAGCAAAGTGTTGAACTTATTTTATAGGAAAGACGATGGGTTCACTTCACATGATCTGATGAGTGTTGTTAAATCTGTGATCTACGAACCTGTGACCTTACAGGATGAGTCTTTATCTTGATCATGTTTTTTTTTCTTTTCTTTTAGGAACATTTTCGTTACTTAATCAAGTCGATCTGGCAGGTAAATGTTATGTGAGCTTAGACTTTCGTTTTTCTATAAGAAGTGGTTTTGGCCAGTTTAAATACAAAGGCTGTCTATTTTCTTTTCTTTAGAACGAGTTCTATTTTTTTTTAAATTATTAAATATGAGGGAAATATTTTAGTCATTAAAGGAGATAATTCAATCTTTTCATCTTTCAAACTTTCACCAAATCAATTATAACCTTGAAAATATTGAAATAATATTAGAGAAAATTGATGTTAGGAATGAGAAATGTATAAACAATGTTAATAAATAGAAACTAAAAGTATAACATGGAAAAAGTCAAATCAAATTCCTCAAATTTTGGCCAAAGCTTAAAACGATTTCTTCTCATAAGAAACCAGCCCATGAACTCCTCCTTCGATCTGTGCTGCACCGGTTCGAGCCTGACACAACATCAAGACACACGAAAACAAAGCAACATTAACACAAGGCTCAGCAAATCAGAGAGTTAGTTCCTACAAGGACAAGTTAGATTCACCTCGAGCCTGAGGATGTTAGATCTCAACAGATCATGAGCAGATTGCAAGGAAGAAGCGCCAAGGTCTTGAAAACCTTGCTTCACGGCGTGCATTGTGTAAGGTATCAACTTCAACACAGAGCCTTTATCCGCAACTGCTCCAACCACTCCTTGAGCAATCTTGAGTTTGGCAGTGTCTCCTAAGTATCTCTGGTCACTTCCTTTAGTCATTGCTTCTAGCGACCCCATTCCACGATACTTCTTGATCCTCTTACCGTTCTATCATTACCAAAAACGATCAAAACAAGCATCACTTCAAGAAAAAAGTGTTTGTTAATAAACCGAAAGAGGATGTGTTAATACCTTATACTCGTAAGCCCCGGGAGCCTCGGTGCTTCCGGCTAAGAAACTTCCCATCATAACAGTTGATGCTCCGAGGACAAGAGCTTTTACAATGTGACCTGAATTTGAGATACCACCATCCGCAATAACCGGAATCCCGCTCTGAGCAGCGATTGAACAAACCTTGTACACAGCAGTAGCCTAAGAGGTCGTCCAAATCACACAAAAACAACGACTCTGTTAAGCTGTATGATTCAAAAAGTTTAGACCTTTAAGAATCAAACACTTGGGATTCAAAGCTTTTTCATTTACCTGTCCACGACCAACCGCACAAACCTCTTGTGTGGTACATATCGAACCAGACCCCATACCGACTCTTAACCCATCAACTCCTGCCTGAATCAAGTTCTGCGCCTGGTAAGTCGTCACAACGTTTCCACCAATCACATCCAATTCAGGGTAAGTCCTCTTCACATACTTAATCATATCAAGCTGGTATAAAGAGTTCCCTTGAGAACTATCCAACACCACGACGTTGACTCCTGCATTGACCAAATGCTCCAGCCTCTCCTTATCAGATTCTCTCGTCCCTATCGCTGCACCAACCATCCACTCACCGTCTTGACCTACGGTCCCTGGTCCTGACTTGGGATATCCTTTAACTCTCTCTATATCGTCTTTTGTCACCACGTTCACAGTCTCACCATCCCTTTCCAGAACCACAAAGCCCTTCTGCTTATCTTCCAACAGAGCTTCCATCTTCTCGATATCAATGTCCCATGGTACACAAAAGTCGCAGCTCTTCATGTAATCGTATATCTTCATCTCCCTTTGCTCGTAATTCATGTTAGTCCACTGAGATTTCGTGACATAGCCTAACAACTTTGGAGTCGTCATTGTTCCTGCTTAAATCAATCAACAAGCACACAGTTCTCATCAAGTAAAAAAGTCTTCTTTTTTTTTTTCCTTTGCCCACAGTGATAGATTCCTAGAAACGAATATGATTCGTACCTGTTTGCGTGACAAAAACGAAGGAAGAGGGGCTAAAAGCATCCAAAGAGCTAATCTCAAACTCCGGTAGTTTCATACCGGCGTCGGAAGCAATTGGGTGTCGGAGGGACTTGGCTTGGCGGATAATCGATGCTTGAGCGGCGATGTCACAGTTATAGTGCACGATTCCAATCCCGCCAAGGGCGGCCATTGCGGCGGCCATGTGAGACTCCGACACGGTGTCCATCGGAGACGAAACGCAAGGTATCGAGAGTGGGACGCGCCGGCTAAGGCGCGTGGACAGGGAGACGGCGTCTGTCGAGAAGTCGATGTAGTGGGGAAGAAAGATGACGTCGTCGTAAGTGTAAGAGTATCCCTGAGCGAAGAGCTTTTCAGCCGCGAATCCATCCTCGAGGCTCGACATCGATAAAGAGAGGCGGGGGCTAACTAGGGTTTAAGCGAGTGGGAGGTTTTAAGACAGGAAGACGACAAATCCAAAGTATTGATTGAATTGGAGTCGTCCTTGTGTCCTGTGAGAGAGATGAAGTTGAGTTGAGTTTCCTTTCTTATATAATGCGAATCAGCTTCGAGTTCTTCCTTATTTTTTTCGGCATTATTGTTTCTGTTTTTTTTTTAATGTTTTTCTTTCGTTCGTCTTTTTTCCTTTTTCAGTATTTTGCCAAAAAAGAGTTTACCATTTTATGTTCGTCAATATATTTATTTAAGTATATAATAATAAATACATCAAGCAACATCATTTCAACATCTTGCGAAAAACTGTTTTGTATTTGCTTATCTCTCTGTTGCGAGTATTAGCAACAAAATTAGTGAACGTTAAACCCAAAAACAAACGACAAAAGTAGCAGTGAGATAGATGATACTTCACGTGTCTAACATAATGACATCTTACGTACCGGAGTAGAGTTCTTTTATAATAAAAGATGTCCTAGTGAGAATATATGGTTACTTTAATTCAAAGTTCAATATCATTGCAGGGGAAAGATGTGTGTACAAATTAAGAAATTATTAGTGATAGTAGTTAGTAGATGCAATGTACTCTGTAAGTCTAGAAGACCTAATTCCATTAGCGAAAAGCAATATACGAATTTAGCATAAGATTTGTAATTATGCGGTTATGCCATTCCCGAGAAAATTAGTACTAGTATTTATAAAACTTTAATGGGTTACAACTTACAAGTGAAAAAGACCCACCTAACATATTATATACCAAAATTATTTGATATTATTCGTATCAAATAAAATATTTAAAAAAAGCGTGGGACGTCTTCGTCTTCATGCATCAGAAGAAATCAAAATGGCATCCATTATAGCCTGTTTTCCATATTAAAAAAAAAAAAGAGTAAAAGTTAATCGAATTTTAATATTAGCAGGAATTTTTATAAAAAAAAATAAAAAATCTGAGAAGACTAGTTATGTTTAAATCTTTTACTTGGGTCGACGGTGACAAGAATGCCAGTGCCGCCGAACGTGCACGAGCCACCGGCACTTTTCGTCCGCTGCCAATAGCTATTGAATGCGAATGAAGCATGGGCCCACAATGTGTTGGGTTTAAAGCAAGGCCCGCTGGGCTGAATTGAATGGCAATCAGCTCCTGACCCACAAGCAAAATTCATGGCTTCTTGAATAATTGGGTCAGGCACTGTGGGCTTAGCCACGCACCAGTAAGCCGAGGTCGGAGTCACGCTAGGTGGTGGTGGTACCATAGGCGGGGGATAGACAATCGGAGGTAAAAACCCCGATGATGGACTCGGAATTGATCCGGTCGGGGATGGAATATCACCGTACGGTGAAGGAGTGTCAGTCGGAGTCGATGGGCCTGGTTCGTTGTAAGGTGGACCTGAAATAGGCCCTGATGGGCTTGGTGTGTAACCGGGTTCAGGAGGGCTAGGAATTGTTTTTGGCGGGTTTGAATTGGAAGATTCAGGCGGGTATGGGACGGTAATGGGTGGGTTTGGGTTAGAAGATGATTCAGGTGGATTCGGATTAGACGATGATTCGGGTGGGTTAGGGACGGTAACAGGTGGGATCGGATTAGAGGATGATTCGGGTGGGTTCGGGTTAGAAGTGGAATCGGGTGGGTTTGGATTCGAGTTAGGGTTAGATGATGATTCAGGTGGGTTAGGTAGACTGATTGGGCTGGGAGGTGGGCTAAGACCAGGATAGGAGGAGGAGGAAGGAGGTGAGTTTAAAGGGGTATTTGGCGGATTAACGCAAAAAGGAGGGGCATCTTCGGGAACTGAAAGTGGGGGAAGTGAAACGTAGGGAGGTAGGGTGAGAGGTGAGCTAACACCATAAGGTAGTTGAGTGTTGGAGGATGTTGTTGAGTAATCCAAAGGCTGAGCTAGATTGAGTTGTGTCATCATTTTCTCTAGCAATGATGTGTGCTTTACTGCATTGATGTTCAGCTTCTTTGGCTTATGCTTTGAATCTCTCACAAATCCCACATGTTTTCTTGCATCTACTATTGTATAAGAAAATCATAACCAAATGCTTTTAGAGATAGAGATGGAGAAATAGAGAGAGAAGGGGAGAGAGAAGGGGATTACCAGATTGAGTGAAGAAGCTGGCCGAGAGAAAGAGACAAAGGAGAATACAAATGGTTGTGAGAGCTCTTTTTGATTCCATGGTTTATTAGATGAAGACAAGACGAGATGCTAAATTTACAAAACTAAAACCAATGAGCTACACTGCCAAGAGGAAGAAGAGAATGAAACAGGACCAAGATAGCTTGAATATTTGTCTAAAACTCTCTCTCTTTCTATATATATCTTGTTGTGTGTGTGTGTGTGTGTGCCATATGCATGTGTAGGAAACTGGAAACAAAGTACAAAAGTCTAGGAATCCTGCAAGGCAACCTGTGGAAGGATATTAGGTTCTGTTCGGTTTCTCATAAAGATTGGTCCTTTAGCAGCTCACTTTACTCCTGAAAATTAAATGTTTGTAATCTTATATATAATTTTCTAAACTATTTTGACATACGTAATCGATTTTTAACCCTCTTAAATGTATAGTTCAAGAATATACACATATGCATGCCCATGGGCATATATGCTTGCTTGACATTGCGAAAATAATCAGAGAGGAAAGTTGTTTAGTAAACTTTTGCTTGCTTTGTACTCAAACAAAGCTCTTTATGATTTATCTTTTTCTTGACTACATCCATTTGCATTAGCTTCACACATTCTCATTAGATGCGCTTCTCTCTGGACTTAATAAGGCTTGGGAAGTAATATAATTACAAAACAACTTATGCTCCTCACTATTTTGATTTCTGTATTCATATGAGTTCCACGGGAAATATATTAATCTAATTTCGGGTTCTTTGATCAACAACACAAACAAATAATACAAAATCAATTATAATAATGTTAAAGATGTGATGTTATATTGCAATCGGAACCGGATTTGAGTATGAAATGCTAAACATTTGTTGAAGGATGATTTACACACTGTGAATCTGCTACAAGTATATTATCAAATCCAGGTTCGGAAATTCAAGGTTATAGAAAATAAAAGTTTAAGTAAAAACTACTAGAGATAAATTGCTGGAACAAAATATTTTATTATACGGAATGCTGTATTGTAATAATATCCATTTTGGGAAAACCCCTGCTGCTTGTAAAGTCTCTGGATTTTAGGGTTTTAGCCGAGAGAAGGAGACGGAAAATCGCTCTCTCTGGAGACCAGGTTAGGATCGATTCTTTGAATTTCAGTTTGGCATTACATGTCCCAATAATACCGTCTACATCTTCGATGATCCGTGGAAGAACCGCGAAAGTAATTCCCAGAAATGTCATTTTCACGCTCAGTACGAGTACCATTTCTGGGACTCCATTGCTTTCTCGCACTCCACTAAACCCTAGTTTAGCCGGTGGTTACTCCTTCAGCTTCCGATTATTGCGCAATTTCACGGTCGGAAATGCCTTTAGTCGGGAACCGGGAAACACTAGTATTCCTGTTGGATTAATCAAACAAAGTCCGAGTCCGAGTGTTGTCAGGAGATTCTGTAGTGATAAGAGCAGAAGCAGTGAATCTAGTGGCTGGACCGAGGAGGTAGAGTATCTAGATGAGTCGGGTAGTGTAATACACAGTGGTAAAGGAATAAGATCCGTAGAGCCAGGGCTTGATGACCATGTAATGGTTGGTGGGTTGAAGAAGCCATTCATGAACGCTTCTGCTGTTGCAAAGATTGTCGAGGTTGTGCAGAGGTGGAAATGGGGACCGGAGCTGGAGACCCAGTTGGACAAGCTCCAGTTTGTGCCGAATATGGTTCATATTACGCAGTCCTTGAAGATTGTTCAAGATGTTGATGCGGCGCTGAGTTTGTTCAGGTGGGCTAAGAAGCAGCCTTGGTATCTGCCTTCCGATGAATGTTATGTCGTGCTGTTTGATGGTTTGAACCAGGGCAGAGATTTCGTAGGGATTCAGACGCTGTTTGAGGAGATGGTTCAAGACTCGAGTGGTCACGGCGGTTTGTCGCTCAGTGCCTATAACCAAGTGATTCAGTATTTGGCTAAAGCTGAGAAATTGGAGGTTGCTTTTTGTTGTTTCAAAAAGGCTCAGGACTCTGGATGCAAAATCGACACGCAGACGTATAATAATCTGATGATGTTGTTTCTGAACAAGGGTCTGCCGTATAAGGCATTTGAGATTTACGAGAGCATGGAGAAAACTGATTCTTTGTTGGATGTGTCAACTTATGAGCTGATAATTCCGAGCCTGGCCAAATCCGGCCGTCTTGATGCAGCTTTCAAGCTTTTTCAACAGATGAAGGAAAGGAAACTTCGGCCAAGTTTTAGTGTGTTTTCTTCACTTGTTGATTCAATGGGAAAAGCTGGTCGGTTGGACACATCGATGAAGGTTTACATGGAAATGCAGGGATTTGGGCATAGGCCATCAGCAACTATGTTTGTTTCCTTGATTGATTCATATGCTAAAGCCGGCAAGCTGGATACTGCTCTTAGGCTTTGGGATGAGATGAAGAAGTCAGGTTTCAGGCCTAACTTTGGATTGTACACAATGATCATTGAGTCTCATGCAAAATCAGGAAAGCTTGAAGTAGCAATGTCGGTTTTCAAAGACATGGAGAAAGCTGGGTTCTTACCAACGCCATCCACATATTCGTGTCTATTAGAGATGCACGCTGGATCCGGGCAAGTAGACTCTGCAATGAAAATCTATAACTCCATGACGAATGCTGGGTTAAGGCCTGGCCTGAGCAGTTATATCTCTCTTCTTACACTTTTGGCCAACAAAAGACTCGTTGATGTTGCTGGGAAGATACTACTGGAGATGAAAGCAATGGGGTATTCAGTAGATGTCTGCGCGAGCGATGTTCTGATGATATATATCAAAGATGCTTCTGTGGATCTTGCTTTGAAGTGGTTGAGGTTCATGGGTTCATCAGGAATCAAAACAAACAATTTCATCATCAGGCAATTATTCGAATCATGCATGAAAAATGGTCTATACGATTCAGCTAGGCCTTTGCTTGAGACACTCGTGCATTCCTCGGGGAAAGTTGACTTGGTGCTTTACACTTCGATTCTCGCCCATCTTGTCCGTTGCCAAGACGAAGATAAAGAGCGACAATTGATGTCAATCCTCAGCACTACAAAACACAAAGCTCACGCGTTCATGTGCGGTCTTTTTACAGGTCCGGAACAGAGGAAACAACCAGTTCTAACGTTTGTGAGAGAGTTTTACCAAGGAATCGATTACGAACTCGAAGAAGGAGCTGCTAGATACTTTGTCAACGTCCTTCTCAACTACCTTGTCTTAATGGGTCAGATAAACCGAGCTCGATGTGTCTGGAAAGTAGCCTACGAGAACAAACTCTTCCCAAAAGCCATCGTCTTTGACCAACACATTGCATGGTCTCTCGACGTGAGAAACTTATCCGTTGGAGCCGCGCTCATAGCCGTGGTTCACACTCTCCACAGGTTCAGAAAACGAATGCTCTACTACGGCGTAGTCCCTAGACGTATAAAGCTAGTTACAGGACCGACGTTGAAGATTGTAATTGCTCAGATGCTGAGCTCGGTTGAGTCGCCTTTTGAGGTCAGCAAGGTCGTGTTGAGGGCACCGGGCGATTTGGTCATGGAATGGTTCAAGAAACCGATCGTGCAACAGTTTCTTCTGAACGAGATCCCTTCTCGGGCTGATATATTGATGCATAAGCTGAATGTGATGTTCCCAAGCTCTGCTCCTGAGCTTAGATCTATGTCACCTCCCAAACCTCTCATGTCGTCGAAGTCGTTTTAACAGAGGAGACAAGAGCCATGGGTTTGTGAAATGACCCTCGTTTTCTTGTTGGGTCTGTTCGAATATCTCATTGTTAATACTTGTCTGAAAATATAATGGAACTTATATTTACGCTTTCAAATCATTGTGGCATATTAATTCATTTTTGTTCGATTGAAATTGGAAAAGTTTCTGTCGTTTTGTTTGAATAAAATGTTAATGCAACAAAATGGAATGAGAAGATTTGCAAGAGGAATCTTATATATAAAACTTGACCAACTCTCTCCGAGTGACACATCAGCGCTGGAGAGAGCGTCACCTGTCATCTTCAAACATTAATAAAATAAATAATTAATTATATTTAAAACAAACAAATTAAAACACATTAAAACATATTAAAATTATTAAAACATTTTAAATTACATTAAAACACATTAAATCACATTAATAAATATTAATATATCTTTATATTAGAATGAAATTCGAATTTAATTTAAACATATAAAAACTTATAAATATTATATTATACAAGACTTTTTAAATGCACAACTCTATTTTTTAACAATGTTTTAAAATTTATTTATAAACTAAAAAAATTAGTTAATTTTTAATGCATGTGAAAACAAATTATGAGACTAAATAAGTTAAAAAGTTTCAAATAATATTATATAAAAATTCAACTCATAAAATTATAAAACACAAATCATATTTAATAAATGATTAAAAAGATAAAAGTTATTAAAAAAATAATAGTAAAAAGAAAGGTATCCACATAAAAATGTCATCTATGGTTATTTTTTTAAATAATAAAAAAAGATGGAATCAATAAAATATATATAACCAAACAAATTAAAATGATAAAATAAAAAATTAACAAGTATTATATTAGTAAGATTTATAAGAATAAAAAGAATATAAAGATCGAAGAAAAAATGAGACTATTTAATACAATTGATGTAAAATAGATTACATATAATGTATCATCAAGAAGAAATTGAAGAAAATATAAATATTTTAGACAAAAATATATTAATAGTAAACATAAAATTCAATAGAAAATATTTAAAATATATAAATTAAAATAAGATCCTGCGCAGGTTTTCTCCTAGTTAATAATAATTTTTCGAAAAATTGTACGTCCTTATCCTGGGTAGGAATTAATCTGCCCGTGTATCCAAACATCTGCCTCGCGCTAAAAGGTGTGGGAGGAGATCTCACTTCCCTTCACTCACTCTGCAACTTCGAGATCAATTTAAAGGTCAGGTTCCTAAACTTTCCATCTCTTGTTTGTTTCGTCGCGAGAAACCTTTAGTTTTTCCTGATTTCTGGATTTTATTTCGGATTTTCTCGGGCATTTCAGCTTTTGTTTTCTGGTTATTGGCTCGACGATAATAATGGCGGCAACATCACCTCTGTACAATCAGCTTAAGGTTTTGAATCTCGCCTTTTTGCTTTCAGATTTTCGAATGTTCGCTTCTTCTGGTATAATTGAGCTTGATATATTAACTGTGTATAGGCTGCTGAACCATTCTTCTTGTTGGCTGGCCCAAATGTGATCGAATCCGAGGAACATATTCTTCGAATGGCAAAGCACATAAAAGACATTGCCACAAAGTATGATCCCTTGTACTTGGCATTAGCATTACCAGTGAAGCTTTTGTTTGCGTTTATGGCATCATTGTCTTCTGTTTTTGCCTGAGAGATCTTTTGTACATCTTGAACAATGTGGTTTTTTTTTCCCCCTTTTTCCTAATTCCTTATGCTACTTTTGTTTGTTTGTTTGTGTGTAAATGGCGTAGAATTGGGTTACCCCTGGTTTTCAAGTCAAGTTTTGATAAAGCTAACAGAACCTCTTCAAAGTCGTTCCGAGGCCCTGGCATGGCTGAGGGTCTGAAGGTAACCTTTAATCACTCATTCTGTGTCCTTGTGGTTATAGATGATTGTGGTGTCAGAATGGATTTGAGCACCTTCACAGAGTTTTGATGTTAGATGGATCTTTATATCTAAACTAATTCTAAGTTCTTCTAGGAAATTTGGATTGAGTTTATGTCAGCAGTTGCATAACATTCCACCTATGATGCTACCATTTATTTGAAACGAGAATTTGCTTTTAGTTTTTTATTTTCTTTGAGAAAGAATACTGATGGTCTCATGACTCACATTTATGGTTCTCCAACGCAGATTCTTGAGAAAGTGAAAGTAGCATATGACCTACCCATAGTAACCGATGTTCACGAATCGATCCAGGTACAAATGAATGTATGCATGTAAGATAGTTGATATTTAGGAGGGCTTTGGTACCTTCTCATGCGGTATTTATTTTCTTAGTGCGAAGCAGTTGGCAAGGTTGCAGATATAATTCAGATACCAGCATTCTTATGTCGCCAGGCAAGACTCTAAACTGTATTTTCTCAAGGCTCCTGTTTGTAGCTTTAGGACTTCCAATCATTGATTTATATTAGTTCTCTGGTTCATGATAAGGTTTTAACTATAATTCCAGACAGATCTTCTCGTCGCGGCAGCCCAAACCGGAAAAATTATCAATATTAAAAAAGGACAATTCTGTGCTCCTTCTGTGAGTTTTTTCTTCTTATGTATTTCGAATTGGGCATATATATTTTTTTTTGCTGGAATAGTTTTGATGACTCGGTGTATGTATGCTAAGGTCATGGAAAATTCGGCCGAGAAGGTTAAACTGGCTGGAAATCCAAATGTGATGGTTTGTGAAAGAGGAACCATGTTTGGATACAGTAAGTTATCATGTCCTGTTCCGTTATCGAAAGCCAGAAGTAGATTTTAAGATGTTCTTTGTGTCCATGGAATTTAGATCGTAGATAACAAGCAGACATTCTCAACTCTTATGCAAATATTTTGGGACTTACAACAAAATGAATTGGTGAAGTACACATCAAAGGGTGCTGAAACCATTCTTTGGCCTGCCTTGAAATTGTCTGACTGATGCTCTGTTTGGTTTTGATTACCAGATGATTTGATAGTAGATCCACGAAACTTTGAATGGATGAGGGAAGCTAATTGCCCTGTTGTATGTCAAATTTGCTCACCTTTTTTTTTTTTTTAACAATGCGTATTCTGCTGATATCGTATGTTTGCCAATCTACAATTTAACATAACCATTTTGATTCCTGGTGTCAGGTCGCTGATATAACCCATGCACTACAACAACCTGCAGGCAAGAAGGTATATTCCTTTTGAAAATAACTATTTTATCTAGAAGGCAATGATATTCAAATAAGTCGAACACAAACGATACATCGTTATGCAGTTGGAGGGTGGTGGTGTTGCTAGTGGAGGCCTTCGTGAGTTAATACCATGCATTGCAAGAACAGCTGTAGCAGTTGGCGTTGATGGAATATTCATGGAGGTTAGGAGAATTTGCTAAAATCCACTACGACACCATATCATTTAGACATTATTTTTCAAGTTCATTAGATTATTGGTGATATACTCTTGGATAATTTATTTGAATTTGATTATGATCAGGTTCATGATGATCCTCTAAGTGCTCCAGTTGATGGTCCAACTCAATGGGTGAGTTTTCTCCTTGCTTATGCCATGAATTCATTCTCAGTTCAACGACAAAAGTACCCTCTCGTTAAATGATATGAATATTTCTTGTGTTTTTTCCATTGTCAAAGCCTTTGCGTCATCTAGAAGAACTCCTAGAGGAGCTCATCGCGATCGCTGTAAGTCTTTTCAGTCCATGGATTATTGCGTGATGGTTGCCTTTGTTGTTTCAAGAACTGCCTCACTATACACCATTAACAATTGCAAGACCTTGATTTTTACATTTTTTGCAGAGGGTCACAAAAGGGAAGCAGCGTTTCCAGATCGATCTCACACCGTACCGCGAATAGGAACAAAAGTGTAGTAATCCCGAGGTGAGTGACCCAAATGGGCATTATATGATATGACTCTTCTCATCATTTTTAGAATCCCCACACAAAAAAGTTTATAATCTTGGAGACTATGTGAACTTTGACAAGACAACCGTGATAATGAATCATCTGCCATCAACGTTCTTGTATTTACGGAGTTGGCTTTTGAATAACTTACAGACTTGGCTTGTCTTGTATTTTTCATTCTATACTTTTTATTTTTATTTTTTAAGTTGTCTTAGTCTGATTATTCTCAATAAGATTAGACCCTATTTTAGTCTCGGGAACTCGGGATACCATTTTTGCAAAATCTTAATGACAAAAACTCGAGTGTGTTATAAGATAATAATTGTCTGTTTACATTATTCGATAGGCAAGTTGTACAAAGCTCATGAGTACACACTACACAGAGTGTGTTGCGTTTGGTTTCCCTACCCTTCATGATTTCTGAAAACCTAAGTCAACCACATCTACATATGCCTGCACATATATATAAGTATATTTATCTTCAATGCAACAGTATAGATATATACACCAGAGTGTGACCCAACGGCTCTATGAACATATGACAAAACGGTCTTGCACAAGGATTTGCTCTTCTTGCTTGTCTAATGTCCTTCGCACAGCTTGATAGAACTCAATCCAAGAAGAAGATGAGTATGAAACCGCAGAGCCAAACATGAAAGTTGGATTGGGACTTGCAGTGACCAAATCCAAAACAGAAGTGGCAGGCTTGAGCTGGTGAGGGAAGTTGAAAGCCAAGTTATCGACTTTATGCTCGTAGATTTTGCCATTGCGGTCGAGTTTATAACGAGATGTGCCCTGAAACTCCCCTTTGGCCTCCCATGGAACTCTAGGTACACCTTTAAGATTCCACCTGACGAGAATCATGTTCTCTGATGGTTGCCAGACCCTGAAGATCTCAAGTGATATATCTCTGAACAGTATCTTCCCATGAAATCTGAGTGCCCAGAAAATCAGCTTGTAGTTCTCAATCCCAGAGAACGTGTTCACTGGATCCACCAATGTTATATCATCCCTGAAACAAACAGCAAAGAATCTCAGATGATATGAAATAGACAATCATGACTGCAGAATCTTATAAACACTCGTATGCTATATTATAATTCATCGAAGTTTTTTTTTTTCACTTCGACCACCGAAAGGATAATTGATTATTAACCTGTAAATGTCGTAATTGAGATCTTTGGTGAAGAGCAAAGGCAAATCTTCACGGAGCGTGCGTACAGCTAAACCAAGATTGATGTAGAATTCATCTTTGTCATGCTGGTGCTTATCTTGCGCACTGGGTCTGGTCTTAACCTGCGCACCTCGAACAGGAGGAGCGTGGACGGGAAGAGAAAGCAGAGAGAGACTATCTTCTTCAAATTCGTAGCAATTGGAGGAAGACGATGATAACGATAGAGATTGGTTGTAAATGGGTTTATCTTTGAGGGATTTTCCAGTTTGAAGAAGGAAAGAAGGGGAGAGATTAGGTAGAAGAAACGCCATAGCTAGCTGCTGGATTTTAAAAGCTTCTTCTCTTTTTCTGTTTACTTTTCCAAAGGCGAAGAATCAGAGAGGAGATGTGAGAGGGAGACAGTTAGGAGAAGAAGAGCAAAGAGATGCACGAAGCTTTGTTGGACGATAAACAGCTGTTCGTTTTTTGAGTGGTAATCAAACCTCGCCAACATGTTTCTTCTTTTGACTTCTTTCTAATTATCTTTATTAATTTTTCTTCTTCTTTTTTAATTTCCATACGATAAAGAATACGATCTTTCTCCATTTCTCATTTACGAATATGAATGAGGGTCTCACAAAGTTCTATTACGAACGAAATACAAATTTAAAATTTTTAATACTTTTGATTTTCTCTTTTTGTTTTTGCCATAATCACACGAAATTAAAATATGTATGAAGCATTTTTAAAGGTCATAGGTAATTTTAGTATGTTGCATTCATACGATAAAGAAAAAAAAAAGGCGAACATGATAAGCAATAGCAGATGAACTAATTTTCAAACTGGGCCTTTTAACGACTACAAAACGGTAATAAATACAAAGGAAGCCCACACTACAGAAGAAAGAGCAAATAATTATTTAAAATGTTAGAACAATGTTAGTTAGAGCATTGATTAACTTATTCGTCCAATATTTCACTTATTCAATACGGATGACATTGTCTAATATGGATTGATGTTGAATTCTCAATTAGTTAAAGTAGATTACGTGAAGTCTTGACGGTCAAGCAGTAAGAGAAGAGAGGACCTAGCTGCGAATGAAATATGCAAGTTGGTGATGGAATATAGGGACATTGATTGTATTGACCAAAATAAATTTGAGGCCATTAGAGAAATCTTTGTTCCAAGTAATTATCGGCAACGTACAGCGCTTTATCCACTATTGAAAAGTGAATCAGAGACTCTAAATTGTTGCCTTTACGAACATACTAGATCAAAACCATGAGAGCAATATAAAACACAAATTATTAGGTAAATTGGAACGGAATCATGTATGGCCTTTTGAATGCACAAGAACTATTTTAACTAGAACAAGTACCAGAATATCAGCCATATTCAATCTTGGCAACGTACAGCGCTTAATACACTATTGCTAAGTGTACCAGAGACTCTAATTTATTGCCCTGTTCTTTCAAGAATCGACTTCAAATATACGACAAAACCAGAGCAGATCTCAAAACAAACTAGGCTCAGATTATAAAAAGAGGTATGCATCAACGAGCTGTGAATCTCTCAAAGTTTGATGGTAATCTTATTTCATCATCAGCGCCTAAAATTCAGAAACACGATATATAAAATCCAAAATTAAGTAAAATCGTAGACAAATCTATCCAAAGCCTCAGAACCTAGAGGAAACAAATCATCAAGGAGAAATAAAAATCTCAGATGGTACGGACAATCTCAAACATCACAGGCCAGGATCTGAAAAAAACTTAAAAACACAAAGAAGAAGAATTGAACCGAAGCAAAACGGAGAAACGTTCTTGTCTGATGTATGCCTCCGTGGAAAAGGTGGCTTAAATAGCGAAGATGCTAGGTTACAATAAACCCTAAAGAGTCTCTAATTATTTCCAAAGCCGAGGTTATTGGGCCATATCTGGGCCTACTATATATAATACATTGATTAGGGCTGTAATAACGGGCCTATAATATGTTCGAATTTACACGTTAATGGGCCTCATCATTGGGCTTGTCAAATACTCTTGAGTATATATAATAGGCCCTAACAATGGACTCTTTGCATTTTCAAGCCACTTAAGTCGGCCCTAATATTGGGCCTAGCAGCTTCTCCATTTATGGTTATATCTTCTGATATAACTTTATGTAGCTTTTATATACTTATCTTTTTCCTGGTAATGAAAAACAAATCGTTTCCGAAAGTCTCACTCATATTACTTACTATACTAGGATTTGAGTTATTCTTTTGTCGAATGCAATTTACGAAAGGCAGAAACAAAAACAAAAACAAAAAAAAATCCAGACAAACCGAGACCACCTGCTCAATTCATCTCCTCTGGATCCATTAATTAGAAGCTATTCTGGTATCTAAACCTTGTACTTGTGTTCAGGACGATGAGTGAACTCAAAGTCAATATGAACGAAAGCTCTCTCGACCTCAGAGAGTTGCTCGAGCTTCTCCTGAAGAGTTTCTCCGATGTTGTGAGCTTCGTGCAGCCTCATATCCTCTGGCAAAACAATGTCCACTTCAACAAAATAGTGTGACCCAAACGTGTAGGCTCTCACTGTGTCGATGTGTTTAATCTTTTCGTGGTGGTTCCATATCAAGAAGGTTAGTTTTGCTAAGAAATCCGGCGGCGCAGAGCGTCCAATCAGCGAATGGACATTCTCTAGAACTGTTTTTGCCCATGTGCTGATTGTGTACAGAGCAATCTGAAACCATTAAGAAGAATAGTTTTCTCAATCAAGCACCTGAATCTCTTGTACATCACTAGTCACAAGAGACGTTTCAAGAATGTTGAAGGTTGATGATTTACTTACTAGAATAGCACCAGATGGATCAATCCACCAGTAGAATTTGACAGCCAAGACAGCTGTTGCTAAACCGACTGAATTGGTGACAACGTCAAAGAGGTGATCCTGTGCATAGGCCCTGACGATTTCGTTCTGAAAACTCCTGCAGTAAAGCATGAGCAGAAACTTGACGACTGTAGCAGAAGCCATTATTCCAATCATCCATTTTTCCTCAGTGCTACTCATGTGAGGACCATTCTGTACAAAGAGAAAGATTAATTTAGATCATATAACTGACGATGCCACTGCTACAAGTATGTTGTACCTTGGAAACAAGAAGCCTGGTTGACTCGAGAAGCACTTGTAGCCCAAGAGTTGCCATCACAGATGCAAACACAATGATCCCCTGTCAAATTCAGGAACCACGACTTTTACTTGATGAAATGCCATATCTTCTAGACATCTTATCTTAAGGGAATTAGGGGGAACAGAGACTATACCACAGGTTGCATCCGTCGTTTTCCGATTGGATAGTTAAAATGGTTTGGTTTTCTCATGGCATTTGCAGTAAACCATAGAATAAATCCAGACAGGAGATCCAAGAGAGAGTCCAAAGTTGAAGCAATCACAGCCATAGATCTACTCTCCACAGAAGCATAAACCTTTGCTACAAAAAGTACAAGGTTTGCTGCGTTTGAGATGTGAACTGCAAGCCTCTCGCTCTTCGCAAGCTTCTTCATTTCTTCCTGTTGAAAAGTCAAAAAAAAAGTTGCTATGAAAATGGATAAAAATCTCAGTGAGAGAAGAGATTCGAGTAATGGAACCTCAGTTGGAGCTCCAGATACAAAACCAGTTTCGTTAATTGCCTCCATCTCATTAAAACCCTCAAGGAGCTTCTCTTGCTTCTTGTAGTACTCAGAGACTTTACGTTCCTTTTCTGATTTTTGACAACAAAGAAGAGTGAAACCCATGTCAAAGATTATGTACCTATTTACTTATGATTTAAGCATGTATAATGATCTATCCTCTCTAGTGGTTTTATCAGTTTCCCATCAATCTATACACTGCGTAAAACCTCCGAAGGATATGATTCTGCGTCCCCATCATACTTAAATAAAGCAAGATTCTGATTCATCACAGTTGATTAAAACAACTAAGAGAAGGTTCCTAGATCCATATAGAATCTAACATATGGTCCATGTGGAAAAGAGAGAATATTGTATCCATCGAATTTCCCAGTACCAATATCAGATTGCATCAGAAGCTTGAACACTTTGAATCAGCAGAAGACAGGCTAAATTCCTTTTTGAATCAATGCACAGGGTTTTTTACACAGAAAAATTTAGGCAGGACAACTCTAGAATTTTCCATAGTGCTTAGATATTTTGCCTTTCGCAGTTTTCAGCTCCACCACGTATAATTGGAGCAATTGCGGAAAGTTCGTGTAGGGTTAAAAATTCTGAATCAATTTGCCGACGAAAAAAGGAAGGGCTAAAACACGAACAGTAAGCCGATTATGAACATAAACACGAAACGAAGTTTTAGGTGAAGCGTGACGAAGAAACTTACTCGGAGTCCGGAGATAACGGGACAAGCGAGTACGGCCTTTGTGACGGCCAGAGGACAACGGCGAAGAAGAAGGGAGGCGAAATGTGTCGAGGCTGAGACGCCATGAAGACGGCGCCGAGTCATCGTCGTCGTTCGGCAAAAGGTCGACAATGTAGTCCCCTCCACTAACGCTAGGATGCTCCGTCGCCATTGCGTATCTCTCTCTCTCTGCTGATTTTTTTGAGGTAGTTACGACTCTACGAGAGAAACAAATATTGTTGCTTCTTTTGTGGGAATTTTGCAGAAAATGCCACGTCGCGCTTCTCTATATAAATACCACGACTCCGTTTCATTAATAAAACTTTGATTGGCAACCAAAAAAATAAGGTCCCAAAAAATAATAGACACAAAAGTACAAACCAGGGAACGAACAGACTATTACATAAGTACTATATATTTAAAATAAACTATTATATAAATACTATACCAAAATAAAAATGTTTTAAACAAAATCAGAATAAAATATCCAAACGTATAATTGAGGTTGTCGAAAAAGAAGTATCAAGTGATAGATCTGCACCAAGCAATATATTTTGTTTGACGCAGAAATGAAACATATATTTTAAAATTGAGAGAATTTGTTATTATCAAGAAACAGATATTTTATATCGGTAAAGAGCATACGTGGCTGTGTTTTAGAAATGACTCAGACTCAATGGTGGTGCAAAAGTGGTGGAGCTGAAACTGGACCATTTTTCGTTTCTAGTGGCGTATATGAACCAGGAGGCTTGTCCAATTAAAATAACTTGAAATAAACAATAAAGAACAATAATCTCAGTTAGTAGAGCTAGAATTGACAAAGGCAACTCGACTCGATCACGGCTTTGGATTATATTCAGAATTTCAGACTATTTTCTTTTGCGTGCACGTCACTAATAAACAATATAACACTCTATGTTACCCCAAAAAAAAAAAAACAATATAACACTGGACTATTATAAGAAAATCCTGTTTCTAATAAAAAGATTTTCTAGAGAAAGAAGTGGTACCTTCGAAATCTGACGAAGTTGTTGGAGACGGGATTTGTATACACACTAGATTGCCGTTTATATTGTAGGTTTGGTTCACAATAGGGCAGGGAACAGATGCGATGAACAAAAGTTTAGGGTGCATATGGCATAGCCAAAAGTTCAGGGAACAAATGTTATAACAAACCACCTTTTTAAGAGACATTTTGGAATAAAAAAACTTTTGGGTGGATCTGTAAGAAAAACAAAACTATAAGGATTAGATGAAATGTAACAAAATTTCAAGGGCCATATGCAATAAAACAAAATGTAAGGGGGCATATGCAGTAAGATATATTTTCAGGGGCCATGAAAAAATACTGCGAGGAGCAAGTGGAATAAACAAATACTACTACTACTATATTGCAACTTCACTCAAATAAGGAGCAAGCGGAGAGAGAGAACCTTATCCCAATAGTTTCTCCTTTAACCTCAAACTCGCGAATAAATAACTCCTCTGTCGCTTGAAAAAGAAGCGAACACAATGCTCGTAGTCTGCTTCCGCTAATTCTAACTCCTCTTCTTTCTTTAGAAGCAAAGAGGCAAGGCACATAGGAGATAGATGATGAGGTTGTTGATCTCGATTCATAAATCTTCATGCTTCGTCGAATGCCAAACCAAGTAAGCAAAACGATGGAGTAGGCGTTTGGTTATACGGTTAATCTAATTTAGTTTCAGTTTTCTATAGATTTTAATTAGTGTGATCTAATATACCATAAGCACGGGCAAGGCTTAACGATGCATTATAGAAGCTCCCAAACAATTGTTTGCTTATACTGATAAGCTAATTTGGTTAAAGTAAAACAAATCCTATCCCCTTATTGATAGATGAAAGTCGCATGGTTTTTAGTCTTTTAGACCAAATCAATGTTTCCGTAGTTGCTGATACTGAAAGAGAACCAAAAAGAAAGAAGGCTCGTGATTCAAACCAAACCCTCTAAAAGATCTCTACCACCTAATAGAACCAAACCAATCCAAACCGGCTTTGTAGCAGGCTACGCAAAAAAGTAGAAAGTCTCAAGCTTCTGCAAGAACCGGAGCGTCTTTAGCGGCTGGCTGCTACCAAAGCCATGTGCTCTATAAGGTCAAGCACTCGGTTGCTGTAGTAAAATGGGGAGAAGAACCGTAAGTGTTTGAGAACTGGTAGCTATATCTAATGGAGTGGATATGAGATGACAATCAACAACTGTACCTGTAACCCCATTCGTTGTCGTACCAAGAGACAAGTTTCACAAAGGACTTGCTCAATCCAATCCCGGCATTGGCGTCAAAGATACTTGACCTGTTATGACACAACCGAAATCAACCACATTGGTCAACCACAAAGCAAGATTCAGATGGCTTCAAAAAAGAAGAAGACACACCAACCTTGAATCACCGACGAAATCATTGGACACAACGTCTTCATCTGTGTACCCGAGAATGCCTTTTAGAGGTCCTTCTGAGGCAAACCTGTTCGAGGTTTTCATTAAAACATGAGAGGTAACTACAAGTTCTACAATAAACCCATGAAACAATAGTATTATGATGAGGAAAATTTGTTGGTCAAGAAGCATACTTAATGGCTGCTTTAACATCTTCGTACGAGGCACCTTTCTCAAGTCGACAAGTTAAATCCACAACGGAAACATTTGGTGTTGGTACACGGAATGCCATTCCCGTAAGTTTCCCATTCAGCTCTGGCAGAACTTTACCTACAGCCTATTTCAACCATAATATGATTCAAATATGATTCAGGACTACGTGCTTGTAGATAACCATGTGATTTTTGTGTACCTTTGCAGCACCGGTTGAACTAGGAATGATGTTTTGACTAGCTCCACGGCCTCCTCTCCAGTCCTTCATTGATGGCCCGTCAACAGTTTTCTGAGTAGCTGGATATGGAAGACGAAAAGATAACCAACACACATAGGTTAGTGTTATCAGGTTAGTAATATACAGTGATGTACAGCAGGAGAGCAAGAAATATAGACCAGTGGTTGCGTGGACAGTTGTCATCAAGCCTTCAAGAATACCAAATTCCTCATGCACCACCTGCCAATAACAGTTAGGTCCGCCTTTAAAAAGCTCTTAGCAATGAATAATTTATGGATAAAAACAAGCACAAATGAGGAATGAGATCATCATGCAACATTACCAACCTTAGCAAGAGGTGCAAGACAATTGGTCGTACAACTTGCATTGGAGACTATATCCATGTTTGGTTGGTATGTCTTTTCATTTACCCCAACAACAAACATGGGTGCATCAGCTGAAGGGGCAGAAATTATAACTTTCTTTGCACCACCCTGCAAAACAAATGAAATATCAAGCAAAAGCATATGTCATCTTGGAACAAGGTTATTTGATTAAATGTTATCACAAGTTATGAGGTCAACAATGAATGCAAGCATGTTTGTATGAAAATGCACCTTCAAATGGGATGCAGCCTTTGAAAGGGTAGTGAATACCCCCGAAGACTCAACAACATAATCAGCTCCAAGATCAGCCCAAGGGATCTCCGATGGGTCTCTGAGGAAGAATCAAAAAGATGTTAAGTTCTAAACTGAGATAGCATGATCTCTGATCTGCAGAAAACAAAATGCCGCTTTGAAGCGATACCTCTTGCTGACAACATTGACCTTTTTCCCATTGATCTCCAAAGTAGAATCATCAATGACATTGATGCTTCCTTTGAAATTTCCATGAGTAGAATCATACTTCAACATGTAAGCCTGTGAAGCAGGGAAATAGAAGATCCACATCAAGTTTGAATACAGACATTTGTCACTGGAAAAGAAGACTAACATATGATACTTCTTTCAAAGTTTTCTCAAACTATACCGGGTTCAAGCATGCAAGAATGTAACTCAGATTAAGAACAGATCATAAATAGCGTTTCAAGAAATACCCTGCTAAAACAACAAGCTTGAAGACATCCTTACCATGTACTTGGCATCAATGAATGGGTCATTGACTGCTACAACCTCCATATCATCCCTGGAGGTTGCTATGCGGAGGACCAACCTTCCAATCCGACCAAAACCTGTAGCATTCATAGCCAGAAAAAAAGAGCTTCCATAAGAAACGAAAAAGTTGGGGCTTCAAAGAATACTCTTAAGGGAGTAAATGATGATCTGGGACACAGCCAAAAAGCACGTACCGTTGATCCCAACCTTTGTCTTTCCACTGCTACTTGACCCTACTCATTCCAATCAAATCAAATTCGCCAATAAGCATACAGCAACAAACACATCCAGTGAATTAATTTTTATTAACCTACTTTGAACTGCATATGGCACTTCTGTAGCCGTGGCCTTGATGGGTTGCACATTTCTATTGCGTTTCCTGTACATTTGAACATAAAAATAGCAAACCTATGAGAATCGAAAAGTGCATTGTTCGATTTACATGTGAAACAGATGTTTTGGCAGTACTGTAAAGATGAAGATGGCCCAGTAGCAACGGCAGCCCCAGAAAATCTTGATGATTTCAGGTTGCAACTAAATCCAAGACTTGAAGACACCTGAGTATTTGAAAAACAAGCAATAACTACGATTGTTTTTTCATGCAAAGTTCCAGAGATAGTAATTCAAATTGAACAAATAACGCAGCAACTCCAAAAGAGACTGAAAACTAAGATCAGGCCATTTCACAAGTTGGAAATAAATTCGTCGATTCAATGAGACAACATACGAGAACGAAAGAGAAGACAAAAACAGGATTAATGTCACCAGCACAAGTTGAGAAACTCAGAGCAGAGCTAAAGAAAACAGGAATAACATATTCATCGCATCAAACTACTTCTTCGAACTAAGCAAAGGCGCGTAAAGACGAAATCCAAGCAGATCAAAGCACGACCTAAGCAAAAGGCAAAACAAATCGAGAAGAAACTAGTAACCAAAAACGTCGTCTCTGACCTTAGAATGATCACGCGCAGGTGAAGAGAAAAAGTCAGCGCGAGGAGCGGCAACCGTGGAGGCGGCGGCAGATCTGACGAGAGAAGAGAAGGCCATTGAATTGCTGCTGGAGAAACAAAGAGATCTCGTCTCGCTAGTCAAAAACCCTAACCCCCTTCGTTGGCTTCTGGGAGTAGGTGTAGAGCCAAAAATATAAACGTGAAGAATCCAAAATGCAGAGTTTCTCCTTTTTTCCTATTTTAAATTCAAAGAAATGCTTTGGAATTGCACTCTTTCGTCTACTCAACGGAGCTTTTTAGGAATATATAAATGTGCCTACGACTGTGCAGAGACGACACTCTGTTGCTATAAAATTGATGGGTTACGATCTGCTGCGGCCCCAACTATACTAATGCAACTATGAGAATCAACCGTTGAGATTTGGACGTGGAACACAAAGACACGTGTAGAGGATTCGACGCTAAGGCTCATGATTGGTCGGCCTCCTGTGATATTTGACCAAGATACTTACTGACTGTTGGGAAAGCCCTTGGTGATGCCACGTCAGATGGGACTGGGCCGGGGTTTACAAAAAGCCCTTCAGGATACTTTTCAAAATGATCTTTATGAATAGACTATAAATGCCTGAATGGACCAAAACCTGTGTTTAAAAAAAAAAAAATAAACAGCTACATACATAATCAGCCGTTCACAACATATCAATCTGGTTCATTTTTCAAGCTTGTGATTCGAGCAATATTTCTGTCTGATCCACACAATAAGAATCAAAGAGGTAACAAACATTCGTACTCAAACATTCATTCCCAGTCAATTTCTCTTTCTGATATGAACAAAGCAATTGATGGTTGCTGATTAATGGATATTTTGTCTCATCAGGGATTCAATAAACTGCACTATCCTACAGACAGGCTGTGTACATATAGGAGATTCAGACATTTTGGAACAGGTTTTGAAACGAAACCAGAGATTCAGACATGTTTAGTCTTTATTTCAAAGAGATTTTAACATCATACAGAACAAATCATTGTACAGTAATGAAAACTTGAAGAACGACTCTATCAATAAATCTTACAAAGCATTTACGTATTAGCATTTTTTCTCCTTATAACCTGCTTACACTCGGTTTTGTCATGTTTCCTCTGAGCTTCTGGTTCCAGAGATTCGTCTACTCTTGTGTAATGTTAAGTTAATTAGAGACTGAATCAATACTCAAATTCTCTCCTCGACAAAACCCGCCAAAAAACGCTGATGTGAATAAACTATATGTATCAAAAAAGATCTATCCGAACCTGACCTTTTTACGTCTAAGACGTTTCAAAAGCCTGAATCGAAGCATCGAGTCAATGTCGTACCCTGCATGTTCCATTCTGTTTGTAAGTTGAGAAACAATCTCCATTTTGTCTCTTGATTGCAGGAGACAGCTAAGGAGGTAGTTGCAAACTCTAGGCATCAGCTTGAAGTTGTTATCTAGAGTGTATGAGAACACATCTATTGCTGCATCAAGTTGTTCTCTTTTGCAGAGTCCATGAATCAATTTGACACAGCTCGGAGGTGTGACGAGGATCTTGTTCTCCCTTAAAACCGAAAACGCCATCAAGGCCTCTTGAAATCTCCCGGATTGGCATAACCCAATTAGCCATATTGTGTAAGGTCCTAAACCGAACTCGTCTCTTCTGGTATCCATTTCGATTACCCATCGCAATGCTCTCTCGGTTTCCCCTTCCTTGAAACATTGTTCAATCTCATTAGCTGCTTCATCGTCCAGACAAGATATCTTCTTCAGGTATTTCATCCATAGACTAAAAGCCACCACAATCTTTCTTTTCCGACATGACCACGTCATGAGCGATCTGTAAACCGCGGGGCTGTGTCTAAAATCGTCTTTCGCGTAAAAGAGTTTAAAAGCTTCTTCTTCTCTGCCAACTCTATGAAGTCCGTTGATGAGAGTGTTGTAAGTGACGCTGTCAGGGGATAAACCCTTTAATTGAAGCACGTTGAGCAGCTTGAGAGCACCGTCAATGTTTCCTGCTTTGCAGAACCCGTTTATCAGAACATTGTAAGTTACAATATCCGGCGAATTCCCAGCATCAGCAAGATGTGCAAGATCTTTGTATGCCTTGAGAATCGAACCAGATTCAACCATCGTGTCAAAACTCCGATTTCCACCACTGTGCGAGAGCCGTAGAAACAAGGAAGCGGGTCTCCCCACCTCCATTTTATGCAACAATAACCTAGCCTCCTTGAGCTCACCAGACTTGCACAGTCCATCGATCAAAGCATTAAACGTAGCAACCGAAGGAGAAATACCTCTCTTTTCAATCTCCTTGAAAATTTCTTCGGCTTTCCTAACTAGCCCATTCCTGCACATACTACAAATAAGAATCGTGTGTGTGGATGCATCAGGGAAGGATTCCGTTTCCGACATCTCGAGTTGAAGGGACCGAGCCTCTTCCAAAAGTCCCTGCTCACATAGAGCCTTTATAACAGCATTGTAGCAGTAGGTATCCGGGCGAATGCCCTTACTCGACATGCTGCTAAAGAGCTTCAATGCATCCTCAATCTTCCCGGCTTTAGATAAACCTCGAATCAGTATTGTGTACAAAAGAACGTCAGGCTTAATATTTTTCTCCAGCATAGTTGCATACAACTCAAAAGCCTCATCGTATCTACTAGCTCTGAATAATCCATCGATTAAGCTGCTATAACCTCTGAGGCCAAGTATAAAACCATCTTTCTCAAACAGTCGCAACAGCTCAAATGCCTCAACCATCCGACCTGATTTACAAAACCCATCAAGCAAAGCATTGAGCGCGGCAGAATCAGGAGAGTGACCTCCCGCTTTCATCTCGTGGAAAAGCCTTCGTGCATCTTCAGCACTTCCCCTTTGACATAATCCTGAAATGAGAATGGTGTAAGTAACTCTGTTAGGAGAAATTCCTCTAGCTGTCATATCGTCGAACATCTTTTGTGCATCAACCATTCTCCCTTTCTTATACAATCCATCCATCAGAATACCAAATGTGTATCGATTTGGGGAACAATTACACTTGAGCATCTCATTGTACACAGCAAAAGCCAGCATAAAAAAGACTTCTTCTCGCATCATGACCTGTAATATCACGTTGTACGTGAACACATCGGGTCTGCAATCGAACTCCTTCATCCTTCCAAACGATTCCACTGCCTTCTCCGCCATACCCATCTTAGCATAAGCGGAGATCAGGACGCAGAAGCAATAAGAATCGACAGAGACGCCACCAGATTTGAGCTCCTCCAAAGTCTGCCAGTATAGATCGCACCCGTTCTCTTCAGAGAGGATGTTGATGACCAAACGGAAAGACTCTCGGCTCCTGAGACGCTCTCTTCTCGATGCCCATATAAAGAAACGGAATCCCAATTGCCGATTGACCTGATCTTTGATTACCGATGTGATGATTTTTTGCGATAGGAAGGGAACAAGCGGCTCTAAAGCGGGCTCTATAGGTTTCTTCTTAGCTAGGATACTGATGACCTCGCCTGCGATATTAAACTCCGCCGTGTTACCGGAGGTGTAGGAACGATGCATTATCCATGACGGCTTTGAATAGAACTGAATGGCTGATCGAAGGAACATCTGAGATTTCATATCAAATGCGAAGCGGATGAGAAATCAAATCTCATTGTTCGATAATTCATAGATGCAGAGAGTAGGTTTCTGTAAGTGAGATGGCCAAAAAATGAAGAAGAACTATTTGAGAATCTGAGATAAGCAAATAGGCTGCGCCAAACTTCACTTCTCTTCTGTAATCTGAAGAGATTTCAAATATTCCTCTGGTTAAAGATGGGAGGGACTCCGTCTGAGGAGGAAGACGGCTTTCTTTTGATCGCAAAGGGTTTTCTGCCATCGGAGCAAACTCTGAGATGATACCAGCCGGTTAATGGTTTGGAACCGGGTTTTGGTACAATTAAACGGTATATTATAGATAGAACTGCAAACAAATTCGTACATTCCCCCAGCTACTGTATAAACTAGTAACGCAATTGTGTTTTGAAAATAATAGAGATACATCATACAACATCTGATCTAAGGATCATAATTTTAATTTTGAAACCCAGTACTCGGACCGGGGCATTAATCTTCGGCGCTAACCGATTTTTAAATAGTTCATCGGACCAAAAAAAATATTCTCCGATTTATAATTCAAGCTTAACAACTTTAACCTCTTAATTTATTCCATAAATGAAGAAGCTCAGTAAAGTTTCCTTCCAAGTCGTCTTTAGCCTCAACTATAGCTCTCATGTTGATGAATTCTTCCAAAATTATATTGTTGTGCTCAAATGTGAGATGCAAACAAATTTTGCTTTCAAGTTTGTATAAAGAATATTAAGAAATTGGAATTTTCAGTTTGTTAAATGCAAAATAGGTTTACCTTATCACTGTTGCCCCATACTATTTCTATTGATCCTGCCAACTATTTCTATTGATCGTGACAAACAAATTTTCAAAACAAGCAATTTTCAAGCAATTTTCATATTGGATGGATAATATAATTGGTTGAAATCGGGAGGAGTTTACTATGTAATCAGAGTTTCATCTCTTTCTTTTTTATTCTTAAAAAAAGGCTCCAAACTAAAAAAAACTCCAAAAAAGAGCCGCAGAAAGAAATCTCAAGCTGACAATAATAATGGCTTGCTCATCTGGTCAGAAGAAAACCAGACGACTTGTTACATTATATATAATAACACAAGAGAGATGAAACTTGGAAGATTCTTAAGCGTCGTCAAGAGCGAGGACTCCTGGAAGTGGCTTTCCCTCGAGAAGCTCCAAACTTGCACCGCCTCCGGTAGAGATGTGACTCATCTTGTCAGCCAAACCAACCTTTTCAACGGCAGCCACAGAGTCACCTCCTCCGATAATTGTGGTCACTCCTTTTCCGCTCAGCTCCGCAAGCTGCTTCGCTACGGCCTGGTAATGAACAAGACAAGAGATCAGGTTAGTTAAGTCGGGTTGGTTTCTTCAGTTAACAAACATGTTGAAGATACATGGAAATTTGGATCAAACTTAGGTTTATGTGACCAGAGGTAATGTGGTTTGAGGTGATACATGTTAAGATACGATGGATGTACAATAGCAGTATTAGTTGCTCGTACCTCAGTTCCAGCTGCAAACTTATCGAATTCAAAAACACCCATGGGACCATTCCAGATGATGGTCTTGGTTGTGTCCAGAGCTTCGCTGAATGTCTTGATGGAGTCTGGACCAATATCGAGTCCCATCCAGCCATCTGGGATTGCAGTAGCTGGCACTATCTGCAAAAAGCTCACAAGTGTGTCAGCTTTAAATTGACTTATCAGACACTTAAAATGTTTTTTTTTTGTTCACGACCCACTGAGTCCAACATCAATGATGCGACTGTTACCTTGCTGTTAGCATCGGGAGCGAACTTGTCAGCAATAACCACATCGGTTGGGAGTAAAAGAGAGACACCTTTGGCTTTGGCCTTCTCCATGAGTGACTTGGCCAAGTCAAGCTTGTCCTCTTCCACAAGGGAAGATCCGACTGAATGTCCTTGTGCCTTGTAGAAAGTGAAAATCATACCTCCACCGAGCAGGAGGATGTCAACGGTGGACAAGAGTGACTCAATGACACCAATCTTTGTTGAAACCTTTGAACCTCCAACAATGGCAGCAAAAGGCTTCTTGGGGTTTGCCACAGCTCCAACGAGGTAATCAAGTTCCTAAAACATTAATCAGCGTAATAGTCTAATCAGTACAAAATGGTGTAAATACTGCTAATAAAACACTCTATATGCTGCAATAAGGTAAGGCACCTTCTGCATGAGGAAACCAGCGACTGAAGGCTTCAGGTATTTGGCAACTCCCTCAGTGGAAGCATGAGCTCTATGAGCAGTTCCGAATGCATCGTTAACATAGACATCAGCAAGCGCAGCAAGCTTTTTTGCAAATTCAGGGTCGTTCTTCTCTTCTTCTTTATAGAACCTCACATTCTCCAACAGAAGAACACCACCTTCAGGTAGTCCTGCAACCAATTTCTGGACTTCCTCACCAACAGTGTCATTTGCCATCACAACCTATTAACACAATACAGCAAGTCACAAACATTGTTAGCTGAAGACTAGTGAAGGCTGCTGTTCATAAAACTTGCACGCATAGAGGAACATGAAGCATAAACCTCAACACCAAGAAGCTCAGACAATCTCGGCACAAGAGGCTTTAGGCTGAATTTAGGGGTGACACCTTTCGGGCGGCCCTGAAACATAAAATTGACATCAGTGACATCCAAAAGTTACTAAAAATTGAAATCAAAGATATCGAATAATTCAAATCTCTACGCGAAATTCTTTCTTCATGAACATAACGAAAGTAGCACGCCACTACTAAGACATAATATAACTGAATATCGATGTGAAAAGGGATATTGAAACAGATGCAGATGAAGCATGAATCTGAAATTGCAAGGAGAGCGACCCAACTTATACAGATGATTCACACAAGGCATAAATTATCATATAAGAAAGCGAAAACACCCGACTATGTAGCCGATCAAATAACGAAGCTCCGTGATAAAACCAAACGAGCTAATAAAACAGATCAGATCAAAATTTCAACACCAAATTTACAACAGATAAGCTAGTATATGAGGTGAAAAACGAGATGACATACCAAGTGACTGCAGAGAACAACCCTAGATCCGTTTCCCATCAAGTACTTGATGGTGGGAACAGCGGCACGAATCCTGGTGTCATCGGTGATGTTAGAGTTATCGTCTAAAGGAACGTTGAGATCAACCCTCACGAACACGCTCTTTCCCTTCAGATCCGCTTCCTTCAAAGTTCCAACGCTTCTCTTGGTCGCCATAGTAGATACTTTGAGGAACAAAAAAAAAACACTGCAAACAACAAGATGCACCCCGCGATATGAGATTGACGGAGAAATCAAACAAATAGTAGAACAGATCTAGAAAACCTGGCTAAAGCACAGTCGAAAATCAATAAGAATCGATTCAATGAGAATCTCAGGGCACAAATCAGAGAATATACTCACATGAGTGGATGTAAAGAGAGACGATCGAAGCTACAGAAAGATGAAGTGGCTGATATAAAAGAGTTGGTGGATATTTCGAGAAGACGAGACGCAGTATATAAAAGCAGCGTGGAGAACTTCGCAAGAAATGGAAATGGTGGGCCCGTGACGAGTAAGTTTACGATTTTGCCTCCTTGGGCTCCACGGCCGTTTACGTGTCATGAAATTAAAAGAAAAAGTTAAAAATTTCCGAAATTGGGCCGAGAGATCTTAATGGGCCTAGTGCACTTGTAATTCATAAGGCTCGAGCCTCTTTTTGTCATCCCATCATTCTTCTTTCGAACCAAACACAACAATGAAAACTAAAAACTCTCAACGACACATCAGTGTCCGAGTGTAGTAGATAAACCTCCTCACCGGAGGGAAGCGTAAGTCTTGCCGGAGAGACGAGTAAGCCGATTGATTTGTTCTCACTATTTTCCTTCCGTAGTTTCAGCAGAGAGAACTCTTTAACCCCCAAATGTGTCTGGTTTTGTTCTTTTCAACTTGAAATTTCTTCCATGGAGATTGCAATTCCGTATAAGCCGAATCCGCTTATCTCTTCACCGACGAAATTTTTTAAAAGACCTAAAAGTTCTGGTCTTGTTCGCTTTCCCGCCAAGTATGGACTGCGAGTTACCCGGAGAAATCCGATTTTTCGTGTCTACGCGTCTGAAAGTAGTAATGGGTCCTCATCTAATAACGACGGAGGCTTTTCATGGTTGAGATTGGCGCGGTCTCTTCGTATTGGTGTGGAGCGGATTGGGGAAAAGATCGGAGAGTCTGTGAAGAAGGAAATTGGGTTTGACTCGGAAGAAGCAGGTGCGAGAGTGGATGAGTATGTGGGTCGAGTTAAGAATAGCGTGCAGAAGGGCCAGCACCAGTTAGATCGCTTGAAAAATGAGACAGTGCCTTCGTTTATCGATTGGAACAAGTGGGAGCACTGGAAGGTAAGCTGTTGCAGCATTTTAATCTCTGATTCTGAAGTATTGCTAGAGAGTGATTCTGTTTGTGTTCAGCAATATTTGAGGAACAAGCGATTTGTATTTCTTTACTTTGTCGATGAATTGACGGAAGCAAAAGTTTTGGACTAGATTTATCATGGAAATGACTACAACTTCCCTTATCTAACAACATATACAAGAATTCGAGAAACTGGGTTTTTATTTGGGTAGTCCATGTGGTGTATTTATGTAGTTTTGCACCTTTTAAGTATTAGCCGTAGTTTCTTAATGAGAGAAGATTTTTTGTATCAGGACATTAGGAATTGGGACGGTACACGAGTTGCTGCATTGGTCATATATGCTTTTGCGCTGTTATTTTCTTGTCAAAGAGTTTATGTTGCCGTTCAAGCTCCCCGGATAGAACGAGAAAGAAGAGAGTTGACAGAGTCTTTTATGGAGGCTTTGATCCCCGAGCCATCTCCTGGCAATATAGATAAGTAAGTACCTCCTAATCCTCAGTTTTCAATTGTAATTTATTTACTGGGAACGTGGTAAAATTTGGTTCATATTTAAACAATGGTATCATCCTTAAACAAGTGCATGCTCAGCTATGGAAGCATCTAAAGCTTCAATACTGGGAAGCATAAAGCATGTTGTGTTTTTAGCTGACGACTTGCTAGTATGTCCTGATTTTGTCTACCGTCTCAGGTTTAAGAGAAATATCTGGAGGAAGACAACACCCAAAGGCTTGAAACTGAAAAGGTTCATTGAAGGGCCTGATGGAACACTTGTCCACGATACTTCTTATGTTGGCGAAAATGCATGGGATGAGGATCTGGAGACAACAGAGGGATCTCTCAAACAAATCATTGATAGAAATGTTAGGATCCAGACAGAGGCAAAGAAGAAACTAAGCCAAGATCTGGGTGTCTCTGGTCAGTGCATATACATTCAGATGGAGACATCTGAGTTGCATTAAATATTGTTTTGCTTCATTGCAACTTCTTATAATATAGGCATAGCTTTATTATTAATTTCATCATCGATGTTTCTTGATTATGTGAGAAATAAAAAAACTTCTGCTGCCATGCTGAATTAGAAGTTAATCCATCCTCTTTTTCAATTTACCTCTTAAAATGTTGTGGCTGATTCCTACTGTAATGTAGAAGAGCTCTAGATACCTGTCTAGTTGTGGCATGCTGTAATAATAAGTGATTTAATGTGAGAAACCTTTGCTTTCGATGATCTAATATCTCTCTCGAATCCTTTTCTTGGGCGGCAGCATTTCTTGATTCCTACATAGCAGATGAAGTTCAAGATAGAGTCGCATTGGTAACCTTTGATTTTCACCATCTAATCTCTCTATTGGATCCTTCTATGATAGGTGAAATTGGAGACAGTGTAGGTACCTGGCGGGAAAGGCTTGCAACCTGGAAGGAAATGTTGGAAAGAGAAAAATTATCAGAGCAGTTAAACTCCTCAAGGGCTAAGTATGTTGTTGAATTTGATATGAAAGAGGTAGAGAAAAGTCTTCGCAAAGATGTTATTGAAAGGACATCTGAAACTGAGGGAACTAGAGCTCTCTGGATATCAAAGAGATGGTGGCGATATCGCCCTAAGCTTCCTTATACATACTTTCTTCAGAAGCTTGATTCTTCGGAGGTACAGCTCTAAGGCTCTAACCTCCACTCTTTTCCCGCTTATGGATTTTTAGTGGTATCTGTCACTAAAACCAGTTGACTTTTCTTACTGAATACAAATAGATGACGGTGTATTCATTGTGGAATAGAATGTGATGAATAATTCCCTTTCCCAGAGCAATTAATTTGATCTGGACGTGATGGAATAATATATCTTTTGACTTCTTCGTTTTTGAGCTTATGTTGATGGGATATCCGCTGTGTGTTTTTTAACAGGTTGCAGCTGTTGTCTTCACGGAAGACCTAAAGAAATTGTATGTGACGATGAAAGAAGGTTTCCCTCTAGAATATATTGTAAGTAAAAAATTCATAGTTGCAAGTATTGAAACTGAATGATGTACAATCACCATTCCGTATCCTTTTTTTTTCTAGGTTGACATTCCATTAGATCCATACTTGTTTGAGATTATATCCAGCTCGGGAGTTGAGGTGGATCTCCTTCAGAAAAGGCAGATCCACTACTTCATGAAAGTGTTCATCGCACTTCTGCCTGGGATACTTATTCTATGGTTTATAAGAGAATCTGCCATGCTTCTCCTCATCACATCAAAGCGGTTTCTCTACAAGAAGTATAATCAGCTGTTTGATATGGCTTATGCGGAAAATTTTATATTGGTAATAATTTCTCTATAACAGTTACCTTTTTGCTTCTTTGTTGTATTACCTTCTTCAAACTTTGTTCACACTTCTATTGATAAGTTTTAATTTTCATCCAGCCGGTTGGAGATGTCAGTGAGACAAAATCAATGTATAAGGAAGTGGTACTAGGCGGTGATGTTTGGGATCTTCTTGATGAGCTAATGATCTACATGGGAAACCCAATGCAATACTATGAGAGAAATGTGGCGTTTGTCAGGGTAAAATACATCTGGACTCATTTTAACATGTGAATAGTAGTTTATTCCATTAAACTGACTAGGTGCAATTCCTCCTCCTTTTCCGTTTTTGACTCAGGGTGTGCTTCTTTCTGGACCTCCTGGGACTGGGAAAACACTTTTTGCGCGAACACTTGCAAAGGAAAGTGGGCTACCATTTGTGTTTGCATCTGGTGCAGAGTTCACTGACAGTGAAAAAAGTGGTGCTGCAAAGATCAATGAGATGTTTTCAGTCGCGAGACGAAATGTAAGCACTCTTAGTTACGTGTATAAAAGCTCATTTGGTATAGTTGTCGTCTCCTCGCACTATTATTGTAGATCTGATTTTGTAAAAATATTGCCTCCAGGCACCTGCTTTTGTGTTTGTGGATGAAATAGATGCTATTGCTGGTAGACATGCTAGGAAAGATCCACGAAGAAGAGCAACTTTTGAAGCTTTAATTGCACAGCTTGATGGGGAGTAAGAGTCTTCACTTGTTCAGAAACTATAATGAGATATATGTTTTTTTTTTATCAATATTCATCTGACATTATTATTTGGTTCCTCCTCACTTTCTAAGATCTCCACGGGATTTAAGGTTTTTATACATTTGAATTGTACCTTCTTGCAGGAAGGAAAAGACAGGTATCGATAGGTTTTCTCTGAGACAAGCTGTGATATTTATCTGTGCTACCAATAGACCTGATGAACTCGACCTGGAGTTTGTCCGTTCTGGACGCATTGACCGTCGACTCTATATTGGTTTGCCTGATGCAAAGCAAAGAGTGCAAATATTTGGAGTTCACAGCGCCGGGAAGAACCTTGCTGAAGATATAGATTTTGGGAAGGCAAGTAGTTTTCCTGCTATTTGGTAATCTCGATAGTATATCTGAGATAGGTGTTTGCTCGTTCATAACTTTTCTTCTCCTTTTCTACATTCAGCTTGTTTTTCGGACAGTTGGCTTTTCTGGAGCAGATATCCGGAATCTTGTTAATGAAGCAGCTATAATGTCGGTATGTAATTAACTTACAACTGGATCTCACCTTCCCATCAGAAATATGCAATAGTTAGAGAAGTATCCTTGATTATTTATAACTCGACTTTACAGGTTAGGAGGGGACGGTCGTATATATACCAGCAAGATATTGTTGATGTGTTAGATAAACAATTGCTTGAGGGTATGGGTGTGCTCCTTACAGAGGAGGAACAACAGAAATGTGAACAAAGTGTTCGTACCGACATCCTTTGTACTACTTATCTCAAAACCATACTATTATGCCACAGATCTAAAACGCCCTTACCATTGAAGCTAATGTGACATTAGGTATCTTACGAAAAGAAGAGACTTCTGGCTGTTCATGAGGCGGGTCATATAGTGTTGGCTCATTTGTTTCCGCGATTTGACTGGCATGCGTTTTCTCAGCTCCTTCCTGGTGGCAAGGTACGTTTCAAAATTCTTGTTCACTTCTAGCAATATTGTTGCTTGAATAGTCCATACAGCAAAGAAGAGTGGACTGAATAAATTTTTCACTTGAATGAATTTTACAGGAAACTGCTGTATCGGTATTCTATCCACGTGAAGACATGGTGGACCAAGGTTACACAACATTTGGTTATATGAAGATGCAAATG